GATATTCCTGCATTTCTTCAGGAACCAACGACTCGCCAAACACAACCCTAAACGGTTCCTGCAATGACAATCTGGCACCAAAGGATGCTTGATCCTCCTCCTCGACTTGAAGTCGATTTGTCAACGTCCGTGATGACAATGGTCTGTGGGGGCAGATCTCCTTCAGATAAGTACTTGCGGGACAGGGCTGTCACCTAAACCGTCGCCATATTCCGTGGTGACGTCACACCAGGCCGTCAAGATCTTGGACAGTCTTTTTATTCCAACCTTAGCCCACGTTTTTGCACCAATCTGCTTACAAATGTAACCAAGCGGTTGTAGCCGGGTTGACAATCAACAGCTTTGTGTGACATCCCTGCATTAGTCATTCGTCGTCGGATAATCACCTACAGGCTATTTTGAACAAGAATTTATTTTGAAACTGTGCTTGGATTAAGCGTTGACAACCGTAGAAGGTGTTTTGTTGGACACGTGTGCTGTCCCTTCCTATCAGAATCATTCCTCTCATGCATAACTGTTCTAGTATAATTATCAAAAGTGACTGAGTTAGGTTTTTCGCCGCTTTTAGCAATATTCCAGCAATATCACAGCAGGGGACACAAGAAATGGGCTTCACACAATGTTACCATGTGGGGAATCGAACCCGGGTCTTCGGCGTGACGGACGTGACGAATAGCATGCATCATAGCTCAAACAAGAATAGGGCGGTGGGTAGCCTAGTGGTTAAAGCGTTGGCTCGTCACGCCGAAGACCCGGGTTCGATTCCCCACATGGGCACACTGTGTTAAGCCCATTTCTGGTGTCCCCCGCCTTGATATTGCTGGAATATTGCTAAAAGCGGCGTAAAACTAAACTCAGTCAGTCAGTCAAACAAGAATACTTTTTTCCTCTATCTCGGAATATGTTTTTTATTTTTTTATTTTCCTTCACATTCTAAGCCTTCTTTTTTCTGTTTCTTCTTCGTCTGCCTACTCGGAGATATGCGGACGCACGCATCAATAATGATGGAACACGACAATTGGCATTTCGTCATCAGTCCCATCGATCTGAACAACAGGATGTTCTGTACATTTATCAATGATCTATGTACTGCTACATATGAAGTGAAAACTACCCATTGAGTCGATAAGGGTGAGTGAGAGAGTTTAGTTTTACGCCGCTTTTAGCAATATTTCAGCAATATCACGGCGGGGGACACCAGAAATGGGTTTCACACACTGTACCCATGTGGGGAATCGAACCCGGGTCTTAGGCGTGACGAGCGAACGCTTTATCCACTAGGCTACCCCGCCGCGCAGAGTCGATAACGGGTACTTACTGACCGCAAAGTGTCCTTATAGCTGTGGCAAAGAGATGCGTGGAGCACAGAGCGCAACGAGATAAGGTTTTGTTGTTTTAGACTTGGATCCTGAATGAAACTTTTTGACATAGTCTCAATCTAAAATTATAATCAAAGAAAACAAAAAAACACTTTAATGCTTGAGTTTCTACTTCCAGACACCGTCTTTTGATTGCCTGAGTGAGTGAGTAACTTTTAATGGTTTAAGCCTTTTTACTGCCAAACGAAGCACCGTATAAATGGGTTTCCCAAAGCAGTGACTTAAGATGGTTTCAGTTTAAGATTTTACATAATATTCTTAGCACTAATTGTTATTTATATAATACTGGCTATGTTAAGTCACCAGCATGTTCATTGTGTAACGATCCAACTGAAACTATTGCACACGTGCTTTGTAATTGTCAATATGCCATAGATATTTGGACAACATTTACCGAATGGATTGAAGGATACACAGAAAGTAAAATTCATTTAAGTAAAGAACATATATTATTTGGATTTAAATGTAAACATAATAATCCTCTTATGTGGTGGTGATAATAATAATCAAATATATGTTGTATAAATGTATTAAGAAAGCAGTGAAACCCAATTTTATATGGTTTCAAAAATAAATAATAAAATAATCTGAAATTTCAAAATACATTGCGTTTTCTAATTGTAACTATGCAAGTTTTCACTCTTTCTTGTCATCCTTCCATTTACTAACGCGAAGTTGCCCTGAGGAATATACACAAGCGGTGCTCTTAAGAATATTTTAGGTGCGCTTCATATACCTCGAGCAGGTGCACATGATTATTTCACCGATTCTTTCAGAGATATTAATATCACAAGTTTGAAAGATTCGGCGATGGGGAAATATATTTTTCTGTGATGCAAGTGGTGAAAGTGTTTGTTTGTCTGAAAAAGATCACTTTGTTACACTTAGAATCAGGTTTTCTATCGCCAACACACGAAGTCAGCAATCTAACCCACTAAGCCAGCGCAGCATCTATTCATAAACACTAAAATGAACTTTTGAACCGGAATACTATAGTATTTCAGCGCGTGTATTCGCCTGCATGACCTTAAAGTGCGCTTTAACTTGAGACTCTGTGAATGGAAGCAGATGTGATTGACTGCACCAGCGCACAATTCGCCCTACTCGCTGAAGCACACATAAAACATCCGGATGTGGCAATGAAACAGTCTGGCAATCGCTATTGGCGTGAGGTTGTTGCTGTCTTAATCTTAACACTGAAGGTGAGATGAAGCGTAACACCACCTCAATGGTGTGTGTGTGTGTGTGTGTGTGCGCGCGCGCGTGCGTGTGTGTGTCAGTCTGTCTGTCTGTGTTAACGCCGCATTCAGCAATATTCCAGCTATATGGCAGCGGTCTGAAAATAATCGAGTCTTGACCAGCCAACGCAGTTAGACGAGAGATGTAGAAAACAAAGGGAACTGAGTTAAAGGTTTTAAGGAGTGTAGTTTAACTTTTGGCACGCTACTGATTTCAGTTGCTTTACATCATTATCAAGTTAAAAGATAAACCAAGTCGCTCTTTGGAGTTGCGTCCCTTGGACTTGATCCTATCGTGGGTTCGAATTCCCTAAGTACCCGGATTATGATCATTAAAATTTTGTTTGTCAGCACTTTCGTGAGTTTCCGCTTTGGTCTTTACACTTAAAGTCTGTTTGTTCGTTGTTGTTTAAAGCCGCACTCAGCAATATTCCAACTTTTGACCGGACAATCCAGAGATCAACATCATGAGCATCGACATACGCTATTGGCTCAAAGAGTTGCCGCGTTATGAAATGTATGTGTTAATCAGTTGTTGTAGCCATGATACAACACATGTTGGGCAAGTGTTGTATGATGCTATTTGAAATCTTGGAGGAAAGAGAAAACTCGATTGTAAAAGATGTGAAAGGTATATACAAAAGGTTGAAATATTACTCGACACCAATGGAAGATTGAAGTCATCAACCTTATCATACCAATCTTCTAACGAAATGTGTGTGTTGTATATTTACTATACTGAACCGCAAAAGAAACGCGATTTTCAAAACCAAATGCAAAATTTTGTTCTTACAAGGTGATGTTTTTATTGTGATTGTACCGTTTTGTTAACATGTTTTTCAATCCAAATTGACAGTTATTACCAACATCAGTGTGTTTTCCGATGAAAAAGCATATCGACCAAACGTGCCTAAAAGGACAGATGTGGTAAAAGGTTCCGTATGACATTTGTGAAAATGAAAATGCACGTGCAGATCGTGACAACCCTACCAATTAAAGCGAGTCTCAAACTTGCCTGAAATCATTCTTGTGCTGACACAATCTCCATACCACGATTTACGAGAGATGCGAGGAACCAGGCCTTGGGACGACTGCAAGCTTGCCAGGCTGCACGGAGGGTAGCCAATCATTTTAATGTTCATGTTCGGACAATCTACCGACAGCAGGAACGGTATCAGACCACTAACAGCATCCCAGACCGTCCATGCAGTGGACGACCTGCATTAACATCACAGCGTCAAGACCGACAGATTGTGCGCAATCATCTGCAGGATCGCTTCACCAGAGCGACGGAAACAGCTCGCCAGACCACTGGGACTCACAAGAGACCCATTAGTGCCGATACATTGCGTCGACGTTTGCGCGAAAGAAACCTCTGCTGTCACAGATCATGTCGTGGTCCAGTCCTCACCGCTCGTTGCCGCCCAAACCGACTGCAATGGGCAACTCAGCATCGAAATTGACATTATCGAGAATGGAGAACTGTGCTTTTTCTGATGAAAGCCTATATTGTGTTTCGACAACCGATGGAGAACAGTTTTCCAATGCGTGTATTGTAGTCCAAGCATCATGGTGTGGGGTGTAATCGATCTGAACCAGAGAGTTGGCCCCGTGGTGTTCCAGAATCACGGTCAAGGACGAAGAAATGGCGTGACAGCTGCTCGCTATACTGACCAAGTCATAAGACCCCACGTTGTACCACATTTTGAACGTCGCAGAAATCACATCTTCCTGCAAGACAACGCTCGTGCCCACACTGGACTTCCTAAGACAACATGGCATCCAATCCCTTCAATGTCCTGCACTCAATCCGGATTAAAGTCCACAGCTTTGAGACGAGATTCAAAGAAGACTGAATGACCTTGAACCAAGGCCAGCAACTCCGGCTGGACATCAACCGGCTAATTCATTCCATGTACAGAACACGCAACGCTGTCATCGATGTCCATGGAGGCCAACGCGATACTGAGTTTGAGGTATTTTAGTGGGACCATTTTTTGGTGATTTTGTTTGTGTGAACTCTAAATGTGATTCCCAAACATGTGTTAACCACAACTGTCAAGTTTAAACGCAATCCTCCGTTTTGATTGTTAATTAGAGCGAATTAAAGTGTGTGGTTTATTATAGGATATTTATATAGCGCACATATCCTCGCAACTAGTGCTTGCTCAAGGCGTTTAAGAAACCTCTGTTTCTTTTGCGGTTCAGTATATATACCACTCAATCGAATTCAAGGAACACACGATTCGTTCATGTTAATCTGCCACGCCGTGTTGTTTTTGTTTTGTTTGGGTTTTTAGTATCAATTTGTTATTTCACAAACATATACCATAACCCAACATCCTTTAAGCCAATAACATAACACAGTGGTATGGCTAACATTTTTATTTACGACGACATCCCTTTAAGATTCACCCTTACAGGTACGTGTAACGCAACGATTGTTTTTAAAGGTACACTGTACCGCGTATTCACGTTTAAAGTATCCTTAGTTGGTGAATTCGTTATAGCCTGTTATCACTAGATAACCGACACATGATAACCGTAAAGTAAAGGCGCCAAGGGGATGTCTGTAAAGAGGCTAGCTTTATGTTGTGGCCAGGGTTTCCAAGCAGAGGAAGTACTCCTCCTTATTACACCGTCCATCCTCCCATTCCCATTGGCCAGCATCGCTCATTCCCAGGGAAGCGCAGTTTTCTGGGTGGGCTGAAGAGGTTGAGCTGCTGCAGGTGCCGGTGCCGTTCACGAGTGGTGAACTGAAGTCGTTTGTGGGGACGACGTCGCCCGCAAGATAACGCCACAGGACACGGTCCAAGAGATTGGACACCCCAATCCAATAGTTTTGACCTTGTGTGAGGGAAAATATCAAGTTTATATTCAAACACATGCATAAATTACTACTTGTTTGTTTATTGTTTATAATGTAGCCATAGGTAACAAACCAGTGGTCAATGTTATGAGCAATGTCCATCTATTGGTACGACGATGTAAACCTTGATTCTATTTATCGTCGCTGAGGAGGCAAGAGGAAACGATTCAGTTAGAATAGCTTAGATTAAACAGGAGACCTTATTGACGATCACGGCCCGTGGCCTGCCTAGGTCTAGTTTTAGTCTGCTCTGTGTGTTAACTGTAACAAGTGAGTGAGCATGATTTCACTCCGCTTTTAGCAATATTTCAGCAACATCTCGGTGGGGAATACCAGGAATGGGTTTCACACATTGGGGATTCAAACCTGGGCCTTCCGCGATAAACACTAGGCTATCTCATCGCCCCTGCAAAAATTGAACTTGACCAATTCGACAAAAATACTTTAGTGGACATTCATCCTTGCATCTAGTGAGTGAGTGAGTGTGTGAAGTTTAGTGAAACAGTATAAATGGGTTTTCAGTTACCTTTTAGAGCGTTGGCAGTAAGAATACCGTTGACGAAGTCGCTCTGTTCTTGGGTTCTGATCATGGCAAGGTCACCCCCTATAATGTTACAGTATTCCTGCAACAATGATCTGTGAATGTTAGTCTTCATTTAGACTTCAACCAGGAAGGTTTCATCATGTAGTCGTGTAACGTCGCATTTCAAATAATGGGGGGAAAGCTGGGGTATACGTGAGTATGGTTTTACGCCGCATTTAGCAATCTTCCAGCTAAACAGTCCGACAACTGGTAGATTTTATGTACCCCTCTGATAAGTGCACTTTACAAAGAAATTGCAATCCCAAATATAACATATGTTATATATTTGAATGTTGGACCCTTACCCACTGGGCCACCCATGCCCCCGGGACACCCTTAACACACAGCAGTGTATGATACAGTAACCAACATACTTGTATCAATGTAACGTTCTGTTAAAGAATGTACTTTCTAAGTAAAACATAAAATTGTTATTTCAATACTAAACTCTGGAATATAAATAACATGTTGTCAATCGTCCCACGTGGGTGTTGTTTACCTTGGCTTGGGCATAGGTTGTTTGGAATCCGGAGAAGTAGAAGCAGTTGTCCTCCAGCTGGAAGTGGTTGCAGGGACATTCTGTGGGGGAGTGAGGGAGTTGGGTTTAATTCTGACTTCACAAGCGTTGCGTTTCGCCCGCTAAATGTGGAAGAAAAGCCCAGACTGGCGTTCTTTATGAGGTACGTACACCTTGGTGTAACCAACTCAGATCGCACTCGATGAAAACTCCTGGAATGCAGGCATGGCCTGGTTAAACCACAGATCATACTCGAAGAAAACCTCAGAATGCAGACCAAGCAATTCTCATGATCATCACCCAACTAAGGGACGGTTTGTATCACGTTTCAGTGCCACAGGAGACGCTTTTAACGTTTATAACGCCACACTCAGCACTTTGCCATGAGAACGGTCTGTAAATAATCGAGTCTGGACCAGACAATCAAGTGACTGACATGTAGCTAGAATATTGCTAAGTGAGTGAGTGAGTGTGGTTTTACGCCGCTTTTAGCAATATCCCAGCAATATCACGACGGGGGACACCAGATATGGCTTCACACATTGTACCCATGTGGGGAATCGAACCCGTGCCTTCGGCGTGACGAGCGAACGCTTTAACCGCTAGGCTACCCCACCGCCCAGTATGTATTGCTGAGGACGGCGTTAATCAACAAACCGACATCCAGGGGGTTAAGCAACAAACAAATTATACCTACGATTACATGTGTACACACACCTAGCAAGACACCATCTAGGACCACCTCTACCAGCTGAAGGAGATCTGTTGTGTCGACGGTGGTGAACTTGTTAAAACGGATATACCTTCCGATTGATGTACCCGAACAGGCGTACGTGGTGTTGGAGCCGGCGGCGGGAGAAGTGCTGCCGACGGTGGCGCAGATCTGAGATGTCCCTCCGAGAGTTGGGTCCTCATCGTACACCTCGATGATGATGTTGCGAAGACGCTCGGCTGCAAAGGTGGAAACAGTGAGTCATGACGTCCTGTACGACAATACCGAGGTAGACTTAAATAGTCTGGGCAGAAGGAAACAGTGGCCGACTGCATGAGCAACTAACTACGCATTCGGGTCATGATGACATACAGTGAGCGAGGTCATTCAGTGTAATAGGGGTTCTTGGGAAGTAATCCTGACTTCAGAAGTAGTGAGTGAGTGAGTTTAGTTTTACGCCGCACTCAGCAATATTCCAGCTATATGGCGGCGGTCTGTAAATAATCGAGTCTGGACCAGACAATCCAGTGATCAACAGCATGAACATCGATCTGCGCAACTGGGAACCGATGACATGTGTCAACCCAGTCAGCGAGCCTGACCACCCGATCCCGTTAGTCGCCTCTTACAACAAGCATGGGTTACTGAAGGTTCATTCCAACCCGGACCTTCACGGGTACTTCAGAAGTAGAGTGCAGGATTCTAGTTTTTTAGTATTATAGATTTATACTATCCACTGTATCCATTTAAAATTAACCTTTGTGTCAATGATAAAAACAATGATTCACACAAACACGGACACACATCCAAGATTGTTGGTTGGTTTGTTGTTTAACGCCGCACTCAGAAATATTCCAGCTATATGGCGGTGGTCTGAAAATAATCGGATCTGGACCAGACAATCCAGTGATCAACAGCATCAGCATCGACCTACTGGGATACGATCACGTGTCAAGTCAGCGAGTCTGACCACCCCATCCCGTTAGTCGCCTCCTACAAGCATGGGTTGCTGAAGACCAATTCTAACTCGGACCTTCTCGGATTAACTTTATCCAACTATTTAAGCGCATAGGTAATAGCGTACACATACGGGACCGTGCACACAACTGAACTAGTCTATATGCACGGTTTACTCGGAGTAGCCTCCCTTGGTGTAATCAGACGACAGTTTCAAGGCCAACAGAGAAAGTTCATCATGGCGTCTGACGAATTATTCTATTTATTAAGGTAATTTGTGATAGATAGTACAAAAAACCCAGCCATCTTCAGTTTAAACGATGTTTATTGCTTGGAACTAAATGTGCGACCATTGGGTCACCGTGAAGCAGAGGTACTGAGTGAGAAAGACCGGGCCCCATGTTACAAAGCGAAGAGAGAAGCCCCTGAAACAAATACACACACACACACACACACACACACACACAGAGTACACACAGAACACAAAACACACAGAGTACATAGAGTACACACACACAGTACACAAAACACACACATAGTTCAGACACAGTACACACAGTACACAAAAAACACACACACAGTACACAAACACGCAGTACACACACAGTACATAGAGTACACACACAGAGTACACAAAACACATACAGAGTACACACACAGAGTACACACAGTACACAAAACACACACACAGTACACACGGTACACAAAATACACACATTACACAGGTACACACGGTACACAAAACACACAGAGTGCACACAGTACACAAAACACACACACAGTACAAAGAGTACACACGGTACAAAAAACACACAGAGTACACATGGTACACAAAACACACACATTACACAGAGTACACACGGTACACAAAACACACAGATTACACAGTACACAAAACACACACGGTACACGAAACACACACACACTATACAGAGTACACACTGTACACAAAACACACAGAGAACACACGATACACAAAACACACAGATTACACACAGTACACAAAACACACAGTACACAAAACACACAGAGTACACACGGAACACAAAACACAGAGTACACACGGTACACAAAACGCACAGATTACACACAGTACACAAAACACACAGAGTACACACGGTACACAAAACACATACAGTACACACAGAGTACACAAAACACACACTGTACACACGGTACACAAAACACACAGAGTGCACACAGTACACAAAACACACACACAGTACACAGAGTACACACGGTACAAAAAACACACAGAGTACACACTGAGTACATAGAGTACACACACAGAGTACACACGGTACACAAATACACACAGAGTACACACTGAGTACATAGAGTACACACACAGAGTACACACGGTACACAAACACACACAGAGTACACACTGAGTACATACAGTACACACACAGAGTACACACGGTACACAATCACACAGAGTACATATAGTACACACAAAGAGTACACACGGTACACAAACACACAGAGTACATAGAGGACGCACAGAGTGCACACGGTACACAAACACACAGAGTACATAGAGTACACACACAGAGTACACACGGTACACAAATACACACAGAGTACACACTGAGTACATACACAGAGTACACACGGTGCACAAACACACAGTGTACATAGAGTACACACACAGAGTACACACGGTACACAAACACACAGAGTACATAGAGTACACACACAGAGTACACACAGAGTACATCGAGTACACACACAGAGCACACACGATACACAAACACACAGAGTACATAGAGTACACACACAGAGTACACACGGTACACAAACACACAGAGTACATAGAGTACACACACAGAGTACACACCTTACACAAATACACACAGAGTACACACTGAGTACATAGAGTACACACAGAGTACACACGGTACACAAACACACAGAGTACATAGAGTACACACGGTACACAAATATACACAGAGTACACACTGAGTACATAGAGTACACACACAGAGTACACACGGTACACAAACACACACAGAGTACACACTGAGTACATAGAGTACACACACAGAGTACACACGGTACACAAACACACAGAGTACATAGAGTACACACACAGAGTACACACGGTACACAAACACACAGAGAACATAGAGTACACACAGAGTACACACGGTACACAAACACACACAGAGTATATAGAGTACACACATAGAGTACACACGGTACACAAAACACACACAGTACACACTCAGTACACACAGTACACACAGTACACCAAACACACACACACTTTTTTTTAAATTGCTGGATCCGCCTATGGGGACCCTGGGAGATATTTGAAGAAGAGGCAATTGTTTTATTATACTTACGGTTACGCAAATGTATGGATACAAGCAAATTTTTTAGGTCGACCTATTTCGGTGATGAACAAGTTACAGCATTGGGTTGTCCTGGCTAGCATCAATATTCTGTTCAATAATGACACGAAATCCGTCAATATGTTTTAGAAAGAGGGAATAAGTGTCCTCTATAACTGCCTTCACACCATGGATACCGGCCATATAATATAAAACAGTTCGACACCTCCTCTCTCCTCATCATGGTCCTCTAAGAAAATCGTATTGAGCTGTTAAATTATTGTATCGGCCTGGTTTTCTGGTTGAAAGACGTGACCGGGGGCGGTGAGGAGACTTCACCAAATTTTACGAGCGCTTCATGAGATTGACATTTTGAAAGGAAGTCCGTTTGTTAATAATCTATTCGCTTAATTTAATGATTAAAAAGGGATAATGTACCAAATCGAGCGTATATACTGCGTCCATTTTGCATAACAACTTATGTTGAAACGTACTGACTTTATTCTTAAATTTCAATTTCTTAACTATTTCATCATATAATGGATATTGTTATCTGTTCGTTAAAGAAATCCAATCCAAACTTGTGAGGACACAATGATTATGCAAATGTCATCAGGCAAAATGTACTTTCAATCTCTATACGTCATGTAATGCCCAATAGGTAACATTCAGAGCATTCGTGACGTGTGTACAGACTCGATTATTGACAGACAGCTGGACTGTTGCAGAGTGCGGCGTAAAACTAAACTCACTCACGCACTCACGCTATCGTGACATGTGGACGATTCGGTACTATGGAACATTGCACGCTTCAATCAAAGATTGTGAGGGGTGGGGTAGCCCGGTGGTTAGAGCGTACGCTTCTTACGACAAAAACTGGGGTTCCATTCCCCCTCATACAATTTGTGAAGCCCATTTGTGATGTTCCCCCGCAGTGATATTGCAGGAATATTGCTAAAAACGTCGAAAAACATGTTAACTCACTCAAACATTGTATTCATATTACACATTTTTTAATAAATTTGCCTCCAAAATGTTGATATTTTCAGCCCGACATCATATAATAATAAAACCATTTTTACACGTGTATTTCCGTATGGTAAATGTAGTACATACAGTATGTTGGTTCCCTTGCTGACATAAAAGTAAGTAATTATTCAATTTCCTTATGTGTTTCTGCTATTGTTGAAGTCTTCTGAGACAGTATTTTCGCTTTAGAATAGACGAGAATAAGATATTGTCGGCATGGCACGGGTTCCATCATTAAGCTGCTAATATGATGAACATTTTTATCAGGCCATAATCTTGCATGATTTAAAAGTGTATTATAACTTAACAAGTCGGAGAGAGTGATATATTTACAAAAATGACCCCATGAAAATTCACTAGCCAGTCGGGCCTGTAACTGTGGAGATTTACTGGCCCGATTGGATTTTTACTAGCCACGGGCTAGCGGGGTAGTGGCTATTTCGCACACTGGTCAAATCAGCCTTAACACAACCCAACCGCTCACTCTACTTACAACAGCAGTCTGCTCTGTTGGTGATGGTGACGGAGAGGAGGGAGTAGATGCCGCCCAGGTCGATGTCCATGTAGGGCGTACTGTCTCCGATGTCCGATGCAAACGTAGTGTTGTCTGCGATGAAGTCGGTGCCAAAACCGCCATCTACGGCAAACTCTGGACCATAGACAACGGGGCCGAAGGTGAAGGCTGATGACGAAGAGACCTGTGATCCGAGGATGGGGATCACGGCACCTGGGGACAAACAATCACAGCAGCAGATAAATCAAATAAAAAGATATATCTACCTCTATGTCTTCAAACTCGGATCACCCGCCGTGACATTGCTGGAATATTGCTAAAAACGGCGTAAAACTAAACTCACTCACTCAAACTCGGAGCAAGGGTAGCATCAATGGTTAAAGCTCCGCACCGAGCATAGTGAGTTAATGAGTTGGCTTTTACCCCGCATTTAGCAATATTCCAGCAATTTAAGGGCGGGGAACACCAGAACTGGGCTTCACACATTGTGTCCATGTGGTCCTCACCTTGATCAAGCCAACGTTGTGTCCATGTGGGGAATAGAACCTAAGTCTTCGGCGTAACGAGCGAGCGCTTTAACCACTGGGCTACCCCACCGCCCCTCGCAATTCTTGTTGTGAGACAGGCCGCTTTAATCTGATGCAGTCTTGCATCAGGTTTATATGTAATATATAGTCAATACTTTTGGGATAAAACTCCATAATACATGGAAAACCCTCCCTTGTGTTCGGAATTACCATTTTGTACAGAAAAGTGCAGAATATTTATCTTTTTATAAATTTAGCCGGTTTTATACAATCTCACTCAAAGAGACACACATTTCATCAGTAGTTTTCACTTGTACGCTTTCTTTCATTATCAATCAAACAGGAATCATAAGGGAAAGGAGCAGTATGTTTATGTATTTAAAAAAAACAGGAAAGCATAGTGTCGATGCGTTCTTTTGTCACATATTGAAAATCAAAGCAGTGTATTGTCTTGTGTTTCTGAACGTGCATGCTGCAAGAATTTGTGACTGACGGGCAATTATACTGCTTGAACAAAAACCTTTCTACATAATTCCATAGAAATGAGATACAGGACTGATTTCAAGCTACTAGTGATAATATTTAAATGTCTACATAGACTCGCTCCGGCACATCTCGCAGACCTCATTCAACTCTACCAGACAACGCGACATTTGCGGTCACAAGATCAACTGCTTCTCTGTGTCCCCTCCAACAAAACCAGAACATTTGGAGACAGATGTTTCGACACATCCGGACCAACTCTGGGGAACAATCTGCCATTCAGTCTGAGGTCACATCATGAACTGTCAGCGTTCAAAGCAACTCTAACGAGCTGTTCCTTCAGAAAGGCATACGATGTTTCCTCAATAACAACACACTATACAAGTGTTCAACTGCCAGTCCCAAGCTCAGTACAGCGCTTTTGAGTCGTTCCACCAGATCCTAGCGCTCGGCAAGTATTTTTGTAGATAGATAGAAAACAACCATATTTCAAAATCGCACCTTGTATAAATATCTTTACGAAAAACATTTAGTTTGGTTTACAAAGAGACATATTAACGTTGCTAACGGACAGACACACTGAACAGGTTACCCAACAGTAGCACTGATAAACTAACGCATAGTCTCTCAATATATATAGTTTTGATAGAAGCAAATAAACCCAAATCAAAAGAAGCCCCATTGAGTTGGGAGATTCCTGGGGAAGTCTAGACTTGCTTCATTAGGGGTTTTAGTATTGCAAAGAGGGCTAGGCTGTATAATGTGGCCCGGGGCCTGAGACAGACTAGAGCACTGATAAAAACTGCTCTAGACATTCTAGGACGTTTTGGTTGTCCGTGTAGTCCCTTACAGTATTTCAACTACAGTGTGTTTGCCGTGAATTGCTTCAAAGATCATGACGTGCCGTTAAGAAATATCGCATTCATTTGTTCTCATTTTTAAAAATAGAAGTTACGAATAATACCATTGCCATCCTAATGAGAACATCCTAGCATCGCCCTTTGTCTATCGTCCGGCTACATTACATGAATGGTTTGTGAATCACCACCAACTAGTGATGACACCAGGCAGTTGTGACAAGGTGAGCGTGTCCTGCCCCACCGTTGGTATCGGACATCGGACATCGTTTTTATCACTGATGCGTCAAACAATGTCTACAAGTCCTCACCTTGATCAAGCTAACTTTAGAGTAAGAATTTTGAAACACACTCTTTGAAATTTTCCAAGAAATGGCATCCTCAAGAGTTGATGTGCTGTTGCGTTGAAAACTCAAATGTTTCGAAATAGTTGACTCAATCAATACTGTAAATATTTAAGCAAATCCTTTGAGATTTTGAGACTATGCACATCTCAAATACTTTCTGTGGATCTGAAGAGGGAAGTCCTTCCTTGAATGTAAAACGGGTTTAGCTTTGAGACAGACGTTTGGTGTTACATGCGCTGGACCTTGTAAACTGGCTCTGAGCTTTGGAATCCAGTAAAACAGAGGAATGAACATGTCTTTATGTTACAATGAGTGAGTGAGTGAGTTGTTTTACGCCACATTTAGCAATATTCCAGCTACATGGCGGCGGTCCGTAAAAGATCGAGTCTCGACCAGACAATCCAGTGATCAACAACATGTGTCAACCAAGTCAGCGAGACTGACCACCCGATTCCGTTAGTCGCTAGTTACGACAGGCATGGCTTACTGAAGATCAATTCTAACTCGGATCTTCACGGGTCCTTTAGTCGACATTTGATGATAACGATGCTTGTTTCTTCTTGAGTCAACACTAACCCTTATACAAGAACAAAAAATGCCCAAATTTTCACGCTGGAAAGCGCCTCGTTTTCGTCTCGCAATAGTATCTGCTGTGTATAGACTGTCGTTGTCTTATGTTTTGGGTCCAGAAGCACGACTGGTAAGATACGGTAGTTGGAAAATAACAGGGCTTAAAACTTAGCGTTACAATAGAGCTAAGACCCCGTCAGTGACAGTATATACCTTGATGCCAGTCATTAGCGTTACAATAGTGCTAGGACCCCGTCAGTGACAGTATATACCTTGATGCCAGTCATTAGCGTTACAATAGTGCTAAGACCCCGTCAGTGACAGTATATACCTTGATGCCAGTCATTAGCGTTACAATAGAGCTGTGACCCCGTCAGACCCGTCGTCAGTGACAATATATACCTTGATGCCAGTCATTAGCGTTACAATAGTGCTAAGACCCCGTCAGTGACAGTATATACCTTGATGCCAGTCATTAGCGTTACAATAGAGCTAAGACCCCGTCAGTGACAATATATACCTTGATGCCAGTCATTAGCGTTACAATAGTGCCGAGACCCCGTCAGTGACAATATATACCTTGATGCCAGTCATTAGCGTTACAATAGAGTGCCGAGACCCGTCAGTGACAGTATATACCTTGATGCCAGTCATTAGCGTTACAATAGTGCCGAGACCCCGTCAGTGACAATATATACCTTGATGCCAGTTACGTTACAATTGATGCCAGTGACACCTTATGCCAGTCATTAGCGTTACAATAGAGCTAAGACCCCGTCAGTGACAATATATACCTTGATGCCAGTCATTAGCGTTACAATAGAGCTAAGACCCCGTCAGTGACAATATATACCTTGATGCCAGTCATTAGCGTTACAATATAGTGCTAAGACCCCGTCAGTGACAATATATACCTTGATGCCAGTTAAGCCTTCCATATAGTGCCGAGACCCCGTCAGTGACAGTATATACCTTGATGCCAGTCATTAGCGTTACAATAGAGCTAAGACCCCGTCAGTGACAATATATACCTTGATGCCAGTCATTAGCGTTACAATAGAGCTGTGACCCCGTCAGTGACAGTATATACCTTGATGCCAGTCATTAGCGTTACAATAGAGCTAAGACCCCGTCAGTGACAGTATATACCTTGATGCCAGCCATTAGCGTTACAATAGAGCTGTGACCCCGTCAGTGACAGTATATACATTGACGCCAGCCATTAGCGTTACAATAGAGCTAAGACCCCGTCAGTGACAGTATATACCTTGATGCCAGTCATTAGCGTTACAATAGAGCTAAGACCCCGTCAGTGACAATATATACCTTGATGCCAGTCGTTAGCGTTACAATAGAGCTAAGACCCCGTCAGTGACAGTATATACCTTGATGCCAGTCATTAGCGTTACAATAGAGCTAAGACCCCGTCAGTGACAGTATACAGTATATTAGCGTAACAAGACTCTGTTGGGGCGGTGGGGTAGTCTAGTGGTTAAAGCGTTGGCTCGTCACGACAAACTACCCGGGTTCGAATCCCCACATGGGTACAACGTGTGAAGCCCATTTCTGGTGTCCCCCGCCGTGATGTTGCTGGAATATTGCTAAAAGCGGCGTAAAGCCAAACTCAGTCAGTCAGTCAGTACAAGACTCTGTTGGTGAAATCGCATATCGTCTCTACGTAAATATAACATCTTACTCAGAATTGAACAGTGTTGTGGCTATACCGAAAACTTCATCATTTGAGTTAGAAACGTGTGGTCGAAAATTCAGTTGAAATACTTACCATGAGTCTCAGCAATCCCAAACAGAACCAAACACAGGGATATCAACAACATTGTAACTAAACGGGTAATTTTCTGACAGTGTTGGTGTCTCTGTATTTATATCAAAATCCTCAATTTTCATTCTCCACGGGGAATAATTAACCTCGGCTGACCAGGTTTAACTTTCTATTTACCTATCAGATTGAATATCGAAGGGCAATTAAGGTACCAGTTGGGTTGAATCAAGTTGGAACTACACAGGTGTTCATTCTGATTAAACCCGGTCACAGAGCATATGTGATGTCCTGATAAGTCCTCCCACATTGTCCTGGGGAAGATGAACGGACTTGAAACAAAGAGTACTTTACATCTACATCAATCCTCCATCACAGCAAGGAAATTAGTCAGCCTCGGGGTCCCCCTTCCACACAGCCCGACTGTAATGCAAAAGTCCTAAATGAAGCAAGTCTAGATTTGTACGGGTTCGGGTGAGTCTCCCACCACTCTCAGGCTATTTTCGTTTCTGTCAAAACAATGTAACTTATTGGGTCTGGACCAGGGAGTGAAGTGACCGACATTGCAAGCATAGATCACTTTGGGACTGGGTGGTCAGACACAATTGAATCTTTCAATTGGTAACATCATTCTGACTGAATTCACAAGTCTGTGTGTGCCTCCACAACTGCAGCTATCTCTTTGTCTGTCTGTCTGTGCAATCCCTTTGTTTCTGTTTTAGTTTCATCTGTTTCTCAGAATATCACCTTTCTCTTTTCGAACATCCACCTGTAACACTACTGCCGGGTGAGATTTTATAGATACAAATCCCCAATAGTACAATGTACATGTATAGGATTTGTCTATATCAATGAAGACCTTTACGAAAGTTATGATTTGCCAAGGCTCAATGACATTTTGGGTTTGTTTAATGTCACTAAATAACAAGTCTGAACCAGGCAACCCAAAGATTGACAACATGAGCATTGATTGGATAAGTCAATCAAATCATCAAGTCTGATTTCCCCATCTCATCAGGACAAGTGGGGCGGTGGGGTGGCATAGTGGTTAAAGCTTCATTCATTACCAGGTTCGATTCCTAACATGGGTAAAATGTGTAAAGCCCATTTCTGGTGTCCCCCACTCTGATATTCCTGGGGCGTCGGGGTGGCATGGTGGTTAAAGCTTTGCTCATTACCAGGTTCGATTCCTAACATGGGTAAAATGTGTAAAGCCCATTTCTGGTGTCCCCCACCCTGATATTCCTGGGGCGGTGGGGTGGCATAGTGGTTAAAGCTTCGCTCATTACCAGGTTCGATTCCTAACATGGGTAAAATGTGTAAAGCCCATTTCTGGTGTCCCCCACCCTGATATTCCTAAGGCGGTGGGGTGGCATAGTGGTTAAAGCTTCACTCATTACCAGGGTAGATTCCTAACATGGGTAAAATGTGTTAAGCCCATTTCTGGTGTCCCCCACCCTGATATTGCTGGAGTATAAACTCACTCACTCACTTTGGACAAGCTAAGATTGTTGAATATCAATTCTAACATGGATCTTCGTGGGTCGTCGTGGTTCAATGACAACAAACTAATTAATATTCTTTGTACATATTTTATTATATCGTATTCAATGCATAAATAAATGGATGAGGAAGGCTTCCTAAGGCAGGTGAAAATATTAGACTAATTTCCCAACTACTGTCATTCTGTGGCAGCTTCGAAACTGTTGAAATGATGTACAGTTCAAACTTCTAGTAAAGCTGTATCAAAACTTTTATTTACATCATGTACAAAACAGACTCTGAATAAACATTACAAACAAAACGGGTTTTATTGTGGCCAAAAAGAAAAAAACATATTGAAACTTAAATAATTTGTTCTGGCAGTGGAGAGGTAGTAATATTTAATGAAGCTGTCAATATTCAGTTCATCTGAATATCAACCATTACCATATTCATGACCTTTGGTAACATCCTTTGATCTTGGTGATCAATAGAAATGTCATAAAATGCCACCTGATAAATTGTCGGTTGGCCCCTAAGGAACCTTTTGTTGAATCACATAAAACTGCATCAACAACTGAATACTCAGAGCTTCATATCAATAAATTTCAAGTTTTGAATGGCATTCTCATAACAGGCACTAGACCGTCTCCATGGAAACTTTCTCAGTTGAATAGTCATTAGTGCCGAGAGGAAGTAACATCAAACATTATCAGTAGTGATCTGTTTCAAAATGGTTTCCTAGTCAGTTGACAGTCAAGGATTGTGTGCTAACGTACTAATGAAAAATAGCTCCATGCGTTATGTACCTCAGCACAATTAAGTTGTGATGCTATGTCATGCACGGTTCTATGCATCAACAACCAATTACATAATATCACACAATCTGTCAACTAATGATAAGAAAACATAACAATGCAAAAAACAGAATAAGATAAATGCATTAATGTAGATTAGTACTGTACAATGTAGAAAAAATACTTATTCACACGCACATACATACATTTTAGCCATGAGCTTAGCCTTTATACAGCCAAAGATACATTGTACATACTTTATTTACTCTAAAACGTCAAGTCTTCGGTCAATTTCCTTTTAAATCTAATCACAATAAACCCTACCTTTCCAGACTTGTGTGACACAGTTTATGGACACTTCATATTTTCATATTTGCTAAGATAATATAGCTGTGTTACAATTCATCAAATCTTTAACAAGTCAAAATGAACAATTGTTAGACTAGAAAACATACAAAATATACACAATACACCTTCATAAAACTCGGATCACTGTTTTCTCATTTTCTTTTCTTTAATGAATTCTTTCAAAAAGAAAAAGAAGGCCAAAGTGGTCAGTTGAAACACCTCTTAAGAACTTAAATTGTATTTTTTTCCACAATAAGTGACGTTGTTTGTTGTCAACTGGGTACCCATGAATATCATCTCTCTGTACCACTCAACACTCCTGTATAATTCTACCCAAAAGTCACAAAATGAGAAAATAGCAAAGTGAGACATGTTAGTCTTACAAAAACAGGTGTTCTTTACTCGACGATCTGAAAACCTGTAAGGTAAAGAGAATTACTGGTGAAGACATCTTAACAATCGATTACAAATAAAAACCTAGCCAGTCTAGCATAATCAAATTATTCATGATTTAACCATGTAAAAAACAAATATGCATTACCATGCCCTATTTTGTCAAATCAAATGATGTAATGACAATAAATACAATGTCCTACAATACCACAGAAATAAATATGAGAAACTAACATCTAAAACTATTGCTCTGTGTCATATTAAAAACATTTTAGAACAAGACTGCTTTTTGGCATAAATATTTATAGCCTTATGACTACTGTCACTGTGAATTTCTAGACCAATAATTCTCTTTATTTTTCCTTCAACACAGTGGAATGAAAAAAAGAGACAGTTTTAACACCATTTATTAACTGCTGCCGGAATGACCCCAAGGAATCCTGGTCATACAAGTGATTACCTCCCTTGGTTTAGAAAGAAAATTGAGATCAAATGTATTCATTTTGGGAGTAACAATGACATTGAAATAAGGAATGGGGATTCGATGATAAGAAATGAAATAAAATAACAAAACAGCCATGAGTAACACCCTAAAATATTCAAAGTATGTTATCTATGCCAGTTTCCATAGCAATGATAGCTGCCATTTCTACTTCCGCAATTTCTCAAGGAACTTAACTAAAACATCAACAAATGATCAGGATCTCATCCCTAAAAGGATACCAAATAAACCAGTTATGATAATGAAAAATGTTGACTGTAGAACTGTCAGGGGTGAATTATTTAAAATTATTTGTAGGCAATCACTTGTAGATACAACACTCAACATACAGAAGAACACAAACACAGTCTTCATAAGATACACAATTAAAACCGAGGCAATGATGTGGAATGGCATTTAAATGCCACTATGAGAGAAACAAAAAGAATGAAAATGAAAATATCATATGGCTTGTGTGACACTGAATAATGATACGATTCTAGTGACTGTCTGAATTGTGTATAAAAATACAAATATGAGAATGTACATGATTTGTATCCATGCGAGTTGACCTTTGATACAGTATGTACATCTTGTAATAATAACCTTGAAATGTCCTGTGATTCAAGTCAGCAAAAAAGACACATTGTTATTGCCACTAATTTGTGGGAGATGTTCCCTTCGTCTTGTAATCAATTTGGGATTATCTATAGTTGACTAAAACTGCAACAACATTTGGCATGTTACTTAATTCACAGGACAGTAGGCAAAGTGTGTATTTTCAGAAGGCCTATCAGCTTCCTAGCGGCTAACACTGCTGGCAATGCCTTAGTATTCACCTTCATGCAAGTGGACGACCTTTAGCCAAATTCAAGGTCACAAAGGTAGGGATTTTCTCTTCTCAATACCAAGCAAATAAAATCAACATAGCACAAATGATTCTATGGCACCACCTCGTCAAAGGACATTAGTTAGGTATTCAAGCTGATCACTGGTTATGGAACCAGTGTGTATGTATACCTGTAACGTATCATGAAAACATCCTTAATTGGTACAAAAGCTGTATGCACATTTACCCTTCAGCATCCTTGTTCACGTTAGGCAACATTCAGCCATGTAAAATTAACAGATCCTTCTCATAAAACTTATAAAACATAAAATCTCTTTTTCATGCTGGCATGCGGGCCATGCTGTCATCTTTGTCACAGCACAAAAAATTGCCAACTGTCAAACACCTCGGTATCATTGTTCCAGGGACTTGTTTATCCATGGGCAATGTGTACCCCTTTCATAGATTCCTAATGGCACAATGAACTTACTGTAAGTTTCTCACCGTTTGGTAGAAAATATGCACATGACACAAGTCAGGTCACATCAGTGTTCCTTTTTTCTTAAGTCACATGCAGTGCCCCCTGGTGAAAGTGTTTGCGGTGCAGCAGCAACTGTATCAGGAGTTCCGGATGCCAACACATCCAATCATAGCCTTATTGTGACCTGTGAACACATTTTGTGTTCCATTAAGTCTGAACACAGTAGCAGCACGCACATCAAATGCATAGTGATGGGTTCCTGGCTACACTAAGTCTTAGATATACACGGCATCAGCTGTTCGTTTGTTGCGGCTGGGTACGATGGGTTGGACTGGGCTCGAGATTCCTTCTGACCAGTCTGAGTGAGCAGAGTGGGGTGAGGAGCTTGACCACTGGCCTGGGGAGTCAGGAGATGGGGTTGGGAAGTGATCGGGCAGGAAGGTGGACATCTGATGTTGGGGAGGGGAGTCGGAACTCATCTGACTGTGATGAGAAGGTGGGGTAGGGAATGGCTCAATGTTCATTGTGTTGTACGCTGGATACTGTTGTTGTTGTTGCTGTTGCTGCTGCTGCTGTTGTTGTTGCTGTTGCTGCTGCTGCTGCTGCTGCTGCTGCTGCTGCTGCTGAGTGTTGGAGTACTTTGGACACACATCTGATCCTGGGTATATGGCCGAGATGGCATGATGGCCGTCATTTGACGGAAAAGTGTACTCAGTTCCACCTTGATTCCGGCCCATGGTATTGGATTGGACCCTGTTCTGCTGGGCATGTTGCTGCATGGCTTGTATGTGACGAGGAGACGTTGGAAGATTTTTAGGTTTAATGGGTGATGGTATTCCATGAGCAATGGGGCTGCCACCAGGCTGCGTGTTGGGCGTGGAGTTTGTGGATGGTATTTGATGGGGCTGCGCATGATGAGGATCCAGCCAGCCCAAATCCTGGTCCATAGTTGCACTAGATCTATAATGATTAGTCATTACAGTCATGTCACTGACGTTCAGTGGCTGCTGCAGGGTCCCCATCTGACCGTCATCTAATGAATGAATGTGTGGCTGAGGCATAGCCACCACTGTGTTTTCATAACGTGGTGACGTCAAGTCGTAACTTTGTGGTGACTGAGAAGAGTCCAATGAAGTGCCAGGTGACACTGTCCCAACTGAAGATGACTCGTTGGAGGTGGAGGTGGACTTTTTCTTCCGAGATTTGGACTTCTGTCCCTGTGCCAGGCCATTTGGTTTGCCTGACTGGGGAGAGATAGGTCCATGGGATTTGGCATTCTTTCGTCCTTTCTGTTTGCCAGGTTTTCCACTCATGTGGGGCATAAATGAAATGGATGGAGATGGCACACCACCATTTGCTAAATGAACACCAGCAGTGGGACTGTTCACTTTATATTCCTCCAACAGTTGCACAATGTCATGGTGTCTGCGCTCATAAGCAACATGGCTGGGTAGTCGATCCATATGATCGGTGATATCCCTGTTGGCAAAGTGATCCAGGAGGATTTGAGCTGTCTCATAGCTTCCCTCTCTAGCTGCCAGGAACAAGGGGGTTTCATCCTGAAACAAAGGATAGCAATTACAGTAAATTTCATAGGACAACAATATGGTTCATAGAGTGACTTCACCACAGCAATCAACAAAATTCTTTAGAAAGTGTTATTTCATTTTTTACGGAGTGCACCTGATTTACAGTCTTTTTAAACCTGGACAATGACTAGACCTCACTCAACTCATAACATAAAATACTACATTTCTCATTGAGGAAGTTTGACAATGACTGTACCTTCTCAACTAATAATAAAAACACATTATCATTCCGAAAGTTGTACCTTGTTATCCTGGGCATCTCTGTTTGCACTATGTTGCAGCAACATCAACGTTGCATCTCTGTTGTTCACTGCAGCTGCCCAGTGCAAAGCTGTCTTGCCGTTGTTGTCCGCAGCGTTTATGTCTGCGTCCGCGTTGATGAGATCTTCCACCATGCCCTCGATGGCCAGACGAGCTGCCAGTATGAGTGGAGTTGTCCCATCATGCATTCGAGCATTGAGATTGGTTGATCTGTTCCTCAACAGAATCTGTAAGGAAAAAAACAAGTGATGACAAACTTGAATTAAAACCAATGTAGCTCTGTCCCTTAAACTGTGATATAAAGGGAGGTGTAAATATTTGGTTGTCTGCAACATGATGTGTATCTGCAAGCAGGCAATACAATACACAGAACCAGTATGATGGTTATCTTATTCTAAGTTATCCTATTCAATTACAACCGAAAATGGTGAGCAACCCATCCACACGTATTAAATTTCCTTGAAATTAGTAACCCAGCTACACTATTGTCATACCATTACACAATATTTTGACTGACTGACTGAGTTTTTCCGCGCTGTTAGCAATATTCCAGCAACATCACGGTGGGGGACACCAGAAATGGGATACAATATTTTGAAAAAAGGATCACACCATATCTTAATAACATATACTGTCATATATCTAAGCGAAAACAGCCCTACGTCTGTCATAAATCTTCAACACTGGTTAAACTGTTTTACAACATTCTAAGTGTTATGATCCATGTTTGACCAGGGCCCTTGTATATCTGATGATGTTCATGATCTTACCTGGAACACTCCCTGAGCGTCAGCAGCCACAGCAGTGTGTAGCGGTCCGCCCAGTGCTGTCCTGGGTGTTGGGATCAGCACTAGCATCCAGCAGCGTCTTTGCAGCATCAGCCCTGGCATACCTTGCAGCCAGGTGTAAGGAGGTCTCACCTGTTGATGAAACATCAGGCTTATAGTAACCTGTCATCCTAATGGTAACAACTGGTTGTCAGAAGGATCTCAGAACAAAATTATATAATTTAAAGTATGTATATCAGTGGAAATTGGTACATTTGATGCAAATGGGAAAATTATCTACAATTCTGATATTGAACAGTTAAACATAACTGCAATACTGCAGCTATTCACAGCCTTCTCTACTGAATATGAAGTACATGCAATGCAGAAAATTTACAATGGAGGCAGTATATCTGCCATTTGCCTGTGTGAGTCATTTCTTATCTCCAAAATAACACTGTCACTGTAATACAGTAGCACGAACTCACCTGTACGATCAGTCTGTGCATTGATTGCAGCCCCCTGCATCAGCAGACTGGTGATGACGTCAGCTGACCTCTCCTCACCCTCCCCGCTCTCACCAGACCCAGAGCCGCTGTCCTCATCACACCCAGTCTCCAAACCTCCACCACGGAATGATGCCAGCATCAGGGGCGTGAAGCCATCTGAGTAACATCAAACAGAAACAACTGAATGAATGCTATCTCTAATGTACACAACATCAGTGCACGGTGAGGGTTCTTGGTTATGAAAGAATTATGATCATTTCAAACGTATGGATTCTCTTTGAGAATGAATTTTTCGGCAAGGTTGTCTCTGGCCTGATAGAACAACCTTGCACTTTCGTATCAACACATGTTTTACAGATGGTACTGAGCTGTTGCTTCAAGTCTGCTTTCTGGAAACAGTGATGCTAAGTCTATAGGAGCTACACTTACACTTTAATATTAAAGTATTTTTGTCAGAGAAAGGGAATGTATCAACTTACCAGGTCCTCTCACATCGACGTCCTTATTGTCCATTAGGTCCTCACCCTGAGGTGGTGTCAAGGCCAGGATGGATGGTTTCGGGATGTTGGCTGCATCAAGATGCTGTTGTGTCCACTGACGAGTGTCACCCTGGTCAAAGTCCATGCAGGCTGCCTGGTCACTCTCCCCACAATGCCGTTCAATCTGGAGACACAGATTTGATTACATTACCCAGTCTCTTATAACCTAACCTGCTTTCACAGCTTCAAGACCATGTTAGCAATGTCTGACACTGCACTTAAGCAAGACAAGTACATTATGATAACTCCATATTACAGATTAAAAAAAACCCCTTCTTTTAACTTGACTGAGCATCAACACCTTTATTCTACCACACAATATTCAAGCAATATCACTGTGGCAACATCACTGTGGTGAGCAATATGTGTGAAATCAAATGTCATAGCATTAACCACAAGGCTATCAAAAAGAAATATCTGCCATATTTTGGCACTATTTAACTTAGTAAATAGGGCCTATATTTCAATTGATTGAGTATTGTTTTACGCCGCTTTTTAGCAATATTCCAGTAGCATCACGGCAGGGGACACTAGAAATGAGCTTCACACATTGTATCCATGTGGGGAATAGAACCCGGGTCTTAGGCGTAATAAGCGAACACTTTAACCAGTAGGCTACCCACCACCCCATTTCCAATGAAATGAGCCATCAATGAATGACTAAAAATATTGAAACAGCTTACATTGCATACCTTCTGGCGCTTCCTCTGAGGCTGTTCCTCATCCTCATCCTCCCAACAGTCACTGCTCAGTGGTGGCGATGTGTGGTTCTCGTTGGCATCCATCTTGTCCAGCTGGGACTGGTGTGAACCCTTCTGGACTTCACTGAAAAACAGATATGAAGACATACAGGAACCAATTCAGCATCTGGCATGACAAATAACTTGATGAATCCTACAAATTACTGTGTACACATCAACTGCTGTAAATGATAGAATCAAACTTGGTCTTTCCAATAAGCACAAAAATTTGCTTAGTCAAGAAACTACTTTATAATTTGTATTTCCGGCATGACATGATAGCTGAATACGGTGAGGATGTCTTGTGAGTCTCCTTCACTGAAAGGCAGATATAGAGCTGGTTCACATTTGACACCAAGCTGCACATCCAATGAACCTACAACCAAATCCAGGTACCTGTCATGGTACAGTGCATACCCTTTACACAAGAATAAATTTCATGCCAAAGACATTCCCAATAATCACCAAGTTTGAACAAAGGATCTTATAGCAATCTATTGTTCTTACTTCTTACAGTCTAACAAAAACATGTTACCTCTTAATAGGAGAGCTGTCATAGCCATGTGTTACTACTGAGTAACCCCTGCCTCAGCAACAAATACGTTATTTGCAAGTTTGACAGAAGGTAACTTACTGCATCTCCTCTCCATCAGGGCACTTTCGATTTCGGGCACGTGGTTTGGTGGCTTCATTCCTGCGAAAGAAACCCTCAGGAAACCATGTCACTGCTCTCTCTGTTCGTCTCGAAATTACAATGATTACAGCCAGAGTGAAGAGCAGGATGGCGCCACAGGCAATGACAATGTAGATGAAAGTCATGGGTGGGCTGTTTCCAGGTACAGTGTCATCTTCAGCACTGACTGAAGCAATAGGAACGCCAACATCTCCTCCTTCCTTCAAAGCTGCTGCCAGAAACTGGGCAGCAGGGTTAGCACTGTTGAAGCAGTTCTCGGGGCTGATCTCATAACATTTTCGGTAGTCAATTTCCAAATATACTTTTGTCCTGTGAAGAAAATAGAAACACAAGCTAAAATACAATCTTATGATGTGCTTGACATTCACATAACAAACAAAATATCCTTCCATTATTTAAGCAAAAGTCAGTTGAATTATGGTATCAACCTGATGCAAATTGGATACCAACAGCAAAACGATTTCTGACAGATTATCAGTGATTCATTCATATCCTTTTCACTGCAGTTTTGACCTTAAGCCTGATGTTATCTTTAATGGCCAGATAATTAAGACTGTTTACTCTCTGGTGTTGGTGTTTCATGAAGGACCTGGTTTGGTTGGCAGGTTCAAAAATATGAACTAAAAATAACCAACTCGCAAACAATGGACATACCCTGTCAGCAGAGAACGTTTTTCTCTTTTGGAGACTTGCATCTTCAACAAACTTTTAATGTATCTCTTGACACGAGCATTGGCATCTTCTTCTTCCTGCTTCCATGGAAAGATCATCTCCTGGCCTGCGGAATCCTTCTTTATCCGAAGCACTGCACGCAAGATGTGGCTCAAATTGCGCAGTACCATTGTTGAAATGTTGCGAAAATGTCCTGGTGACACCAAGACAATGATAACCAGCGTTCCCTGGGCCAGCTTGGGAGGGTTGTTGTCACAGTCAAGACCATCCCACTCACAGTCAGCAGTGTTACAGCCCTCATCACAGTGTCCATTGTGGTAGTTGAGGCGACAGTACTGATCATAGAACGGGTTGCATTCTTTGATGTCCTGGCAGTCGAACCCATCATAGAGACAGTCTTGGTTATTGCACTGTTTGTTGCAGATTCCGTTCTTGAAGACCTTCCAGCAGTACACACCATCCCTTGCCTGTGTGCAATTTACCCACGGCTTCATCCCATAGGAACATTCCTTGCCATCATAATCGCATGCATGCATGTTACATTCAGTCTGAAAAGAAAACCACACGTAACTAAGATAAAGAAACATTAAATTTCAGTGGTGGTAAGTTTTTTAAATCTAAGGACTGTCGTAATGAGTAAATTCTAACATCATCATCAAACAATACTATTTATTCTTATAGTCTGCTTGCAGTGAAACCGTACCGATGAAATTCACTTTAAACAAGAAAGTAAATCAAGTCAAGTGAAATTAAGATTACGAATCCTCATAATTTTGCCCCGCCAACACTACTTATTCTTGGTGTTTCATTTAAAGTGCACACCCCTTTGTAATGCAAACTAATAATAGCGATTTGAAACTATGATCGTTTGTTAAACAACTTTTATCCTAAGTTGAATAAAATTCTGAGATTTGAATGTTCAATTGGCAGGGCAAAATTATGAGGATTCGTAATCTTAATTTCACTTTATTTGATTTACCTTTTTTGTTTAGAGTGAAATTCATCGGTATGTTTTCACTGCAAACAGACCATAATTGCAAGCATGACTAAACCTTTGTGAAATATGGTCAGTGTAAGTTGATGGAGTACCCTCGATATCCAGAAATACTGAATGCTAACTCCTTTGGTATGAAAGTTGATATTGTCTAATAAATCAATAAAATGCGATTCCTGGAGACAACAATTGCTATTTAGACACATGACATGGCCAGCTTGCAACTTACATCACACTGTCCATTGTTGGCCTTGTCAGGACAACCCAGCTCCAAGCAGCGCCGCCATGGTTCGTCAATCGCTGGGGTTGTTTCTTCAGGCAAGTACAACTCACATCGGCTTCCAGTGTAGTGCTGAGGACACTGGCATCGGTAGAAACCTACAGCAACATCACAGTTTTTACATACACTGTTAAACAATAAGTTCAAATATGTATGACATGTCCAGCCAAGAGATCTGGATGTGGCTGCTATCAGTGAGCTGGGTTTAACGTCATTTTTAGCAGTATTCCAGCAAAATCACGGCGGGGCACACCAGAAATGAGCTTCACACATTGTACCCACGTGGGGAATTTAACCTGAGTGCTGCTGCCATCAAAAGCACTGTGTAGATATAGCAGTCTAGTAAACTTGATAAGAAGGGAACAACCCATGTGTTCAGATCAAAATCAGTTGATACTGATGCTAAATGATAAGTTCAAAGCTGTTGACTATATTATGGATCATACAGAAGTTAATACCATGGGACATAAAGTGGAGTGAAATCTTATAAACCACTGTTCTTATCACCAATAAATTCATCTTCACAGTAACTCATATTTTTCAAAAGAGGTTACTCACAGGAACGGGTTACTGGACTGATTGCTTGGTTGTGATATGTAATCATATTTCAAATGTTCGGATCATTGCTCATGATACTGAGTTAATTTTACACACAGCGGTCATACATCAGGAACATTGCTGAGTGTGACAAAAATGGACTTAAAACCATTGGATCTGTTGCTTGCTATCTGAATATTCTCAGATGCATCCTAGCACAATCAACTGTATTGGAGAGCAGTACTGACCTATATCTTCCTGACAGATTCCACCATTGATGCAAGGGTTTGACTGACACTCCAGTATAACATCTTCCTCACATTTGGGGCCACTTGCTCCTGGGGGGCAGGTACAAGTGTAGCCAGTTGGCGTGGGTTTGCAGGTGGCACCATTCAGACAGGGGGAACTGTCACAGGCAGATGATGTCATTTCACAGTAGTTACCTGTGAAACCCTGGAAAATAACCATGGAGAACACATAGAACCCAGAGACTTAAAAATATTAATTAATTCGCAATTTTTATTTAAAGGTCACATGCAACGTAAAACACAACTTTGCAGATTCTGATACCTTTCGGTATGGACATACCGAAACAAAGCGTCAAAAATGCAAATTCAACTTATAAAGTTGAAAAATAACGCGATGAAAAAAAACGCGCGAAATCGAAGTTCAAACGTTTCACTAATTTTCCCCAGACTTTTCTGGGGAATACGGGTTTCAACAGCTTGGCTGCGCTCATAGCACGTGCGCAGTGAAATAGGTTCGCGCAACTTGGAAGCGGGCTGTCTGGTGAATACTTTCGGTAAAGGCTTTGGTGTGAGCTATTTTCATAATGTTTTGTTGATATCTCACAGGCGAGCTTTTGTATGTTATGACAGTAAATAAACTGTTTATATAATTTCATTTGTCTATTTCACCACCACCGTTCTTCTTACCGAGTCACTTTCTCAGTTCGATACTTAAAAGCAATGCCATTATTTAGAGTTGACACAATTTCTAACTGTGATATAGATATGTCGCTGTCACAGACAAAACTCAATGTCTTGTTTTATTGACACCTGTGTGTCTGCCTGCCTGTCTGCTAATGGCAATATTCAATACACAACTCGCGATCACTGACCACATGCAATTTGAACTTAACACCAATCAGGCTATACACCATAAACAAAACGCATTGATTTATGGCCCGAGTTAGGTCTCTGTCACATTATGTAATTACACAGACAGGCAGGTGTGATACTTGAACACATGACATGTTATGATGTCTGTTGATTGCAAAATGTTATACACAAAAGTGAGCATGTATTTACAAAACATAACTTTCTATATATACACACACAATTAGCCGTGAAGGCGGCATCTGCTAATGAACCAGCCGTTACACTTGAGTGCACACCCACCCGCTCTGACTGGGTTCGGTATCCCGGCTGCTTCGTTTCGAGGGAGGTAAACCCAAGTACAAAATATTGCACTTTTGATTTGCGATTATACGCTTATAATTTTGTTTATTTGTTTTTTCATAATCAGCAATGCATATTATATGTCATGAAGAAGTGATAATTGTGTTATAATTATGTTTGATTTTTTGGTTGCATGTGACCTTTAAAGACCATGTAAATGTGCGCGAGGGCTACTTACATCTCGGCAATCACATCGGATGGTTCCGCCACTGACTTGGGAACAGCTTCCCCCATTCTGACATGGCTGTTGATGACAGGTGATGGGCTGGCTACAAAGTTGACCTGACCAGCCGTGTTTGCAGTCACATCTGAAGCTGTTGTTCAGCTGGACACAATCCTGAGTGCCACCATCAAAACAGGGACTGGATAGACACTCATTGACATCTCCTTCGCACTTGGTTCCAACAAATCCTGGCGGACATATACACTTGTAGGTACCAATCTCATCTTTGCATGTCCCTCCGTTGTGGCAGGTGTTGGGTAAACAATTGACTTCATCAAATTCGCAGAGTAAACCAAGCGTTCCGGGAGGACATGAGCAGTGAAAGTCTGCCACTAGATCATGGCATGTGCCATGATTCACACATGGATTGTTTGCACAGTCATCAATGTTAAATTCACAGTTCTGACCCTGGAAGCCATTGGCACAGCGGCAGGTGTACCTTCCAACCAGGTCCTCACAGGTGGCTCCATTCTGGCAGGGTTGAGAGGCGCACTCGTTCAGCTCTACCTCACAGTAACTGCCTGTGTAGCCAGTCTGACATTTGCAAGTATGGTAGTTGTCAGTGTCATGACATGTCCCTCCATTGTGACACAGCTTGTCACGAGTAATACCTATAAATAGAAACAAAACACTCATAAGATGACAGGTCCTTACATATGATTTGTTAAGCAAACAAGTCTCTTTTCAATATATTGCTGGTGGAGGGCCTCCATGGCAAATTTGTTCCAAGGGAGGCAACCCCGTTTCCAGAATATTACCTCCCTTTAACCACGACGTTCTATCTTCATCATGCTGTGATCATATATTTTGAAAGAAACTGCCATCAGCTCCTCTCCTCCCGTAATCTCACGATGAGTTACAGCTGAAACTGATGACATGTCATATTAAAAGCTGGAAGTCAGAATACATCAGATGTGTGCTGACCTCTTTGTTGCGCTGCTGTGTCACAGGAAACTTCAGACAAATCACAGTGGGCTCCCTTCCAGCCAAGGGGGCAGACGCACTTGTACTGGTTGGCTTGCTGTACACAGTTGCCATTATTCTTACAAGGGCTCTGACTACACCAGTCCAGGAATTCCTAAAAGAGTATATCAACTATGAAGCAAACATCACTTAAAAGCTATATCGCCTTGCACTCACATTAAAAACATGGAACAAAAGGTACCAAAAGACTCACACCACCAAATAAGCTTTAAAAAGGGCATGCTTGTTTTAAATTGCAGCTCTGGAAAGATGAATGAGTGAGTCAGTTGGGTTTTTCACTGTTTTTCGCAATATTCCAGCAATGGGCTTCACACACTGTACCCATGTCGTGAATTGAACCCGGGTCTTCAGCGTGACAAGCTAATGTTTTAACACACACATACACCCTGGAAACATGAGATACTACGTATCAAATCTACATCAGACACACAAGTGGATGACAACAGGATCAATACCAGGATAACTGCCCCCTTCTCTGCTTCTAAACATGGTAAACTTTCCCAAAGTAACACATGTAATGTTAAATTTTCACATGTTTACACACAAGAAGTTATAAGTGCCTTAGGAAGTCTGTCAGAACAAATCATCTTTACCTCACACCTAGGCCCGGTAAAGCCATAGGGGCAGTAGCAAGCAAAGTCTCCATCGACATTGTTGCAGGTGGCTGCGTTGAGACAAGGATTGGAATCACAGGGGTTGATGTGCTGCTGGCAGTTGGATCCCATGTAACCCGGGGCACACAGGCACTGATAGTGGTTCACCTTGTCCACACAGGTACCTCCATACAGACACGACCTGCAACACAAACATATACGTACACAAAACATGAAACACACGAAATATCTTCTAATGTAACAGGATATTAGTTCCCATGGAAAGAATCTCCGGGGGATAATAGATATTCTGTTACAATAATAGGCTGTTAAATGATGATTACGATACATAGAAAATGTCATAAAAGAGTATTTGATATCAAATTTATATATCAAGACAAGTTAACAAAAGTTTAAAACTACCAGACATGGCCATGTCTAACCTGAACATGGGGGGCAACTGTGAAGGATTTATTAAGAGACTGAGTTAAATTTTATGCCGCTTTTAGCAATATTCCAACAATGTCACATCGGGAGACACCAGAAATGACCCGAACATTTAACACTACCTTACTGCCGTGAAAGAGTGATTGAGTTGCTTACGTTGCTGTACAGTCATTCGTCATTGTTTTGACAATGAATACCACTGAAGCCAGGTTGACATGTGCACGTGTAAGAGTTGACATAGTCGGTACATGTTCCTCCATTCAGACAAGGCAGAGAAGCACACTCATTGATGTCATCCTTGCAGTGGTGGCCCCCGAAGCCTTGCACGCACACACAGGTGTAGTTGTTGATGCCATCAATACAGGTTCCTCCATTGTAGCAGGGATCTGTAATTATACAAACATATGTGACACAAACCATCCATGCCAGAAAATCAGTCAAGCATCCACCAAAACAGATTCCATGAGCAGGGTTTTACGCGACACATCCAGTACGCACAAATGTAAAGCATGGACGCATTAAAGAAATTCACTGCGTCTAAAGGATGCAAAATATTATTCATTTTACCCACACCACATCACCACATTGCTAAGTGTTTGGTTGTTTCTTTCAGAGCAGTAATACATGCATCATGTTATACATCAGTCCACATGATCAATGATTCATTCCAGGCTCTAAAGAAATGAAAGCATACAGTTCTCTACACTGTTACTTCACAGAACCCTCATATTGTCTGCAAGGACCTCAAAACTAATAATTAGCAGTCCCTGAGACCTAATGTTTGTGAGTGGAGGTAAAACCCTGCATTAGTCATAAAAGGCAAGATAGGGGTGATGGCATCAGGTGTTCATGAAAAGCTAAAAGCCTCCTTTACACTTTCCTCATGTTGTTGTTAGCAATGTTACAGCCGTATCACAGTTGCCTGTAATATTTCACAGTAAGACTGGTTTTCAAGTGGTTGATAATCAAAGATACTAGTCATCAGGGTATAATATGACACAATGAACAAGGTCACATGATGTGGCCTCCTGATCATCATTTGTCAGCAACAAGTACTGGGTACCATGGACTCTATTCCACTTCAGATCACATAAAAGAAGACTATGTTTGTTTCAAGAACAAGAGGTACTGTACTCACTCAAAGGTTTGCAGTCATCAGGGTTAAGATCACACTGTTCCCCTTCATACCCAGGTGGACAGTGACAGATGAAAGATCCGTTGGTGTTCTGGCAGGTGCCCCCATTGAGGCAAGGAGGCTGTTCTGCACATTCATTGATGTCCTGGTCACAGCGACGGCCTGTTAATACAACAGTAAACAATTATGCAGTGTGCTAGATCCATGGCAATACAAGGGCATGACATCCTATGACAAATCTCTGTCACAATTTAACAATCACCCAAACATCAGAGACCTACCACAGAGTCTGATATCTACCACTATGGTGAGTGAGTTTAGTTTTACGCCACACTCAGCAATATTCAAGATATATGGCAGTGGTCTATAAATAAGCAAGTCTGGACCAGACAATCCCATGATCAACAGCATGAATATTGATCTACGCAACTGGGAATACGATGACATCTGTCAACCAAATCACCAAGCCGGACCACCCAATCCCATTAGTCGCCTCTTACGACAAGCATGGGTTGCTGAAGGTCAGTTCTATGGAGTCCATCATCTTTGCCTGCAGGGTTCTGGACCTACCTGTGTATCCTGTCATACAGGTGCACGCAAAGTTTTGGTAGTTGTCGGTGGGCACACATTGAACAGCATTGCGGCAGGGGATGGCGGCACAAGGGTTCATCTCAACATCACAGTTCTTCCCTGTGTAAGGCACCTCACAGTGACAGAAGTAGTTGTCGTTTTGGTCCACACAACGGCCATGGACACAAGGGTTGCTGATGCAGTCATTAATGTTGGTCTCACAGTTCGTTCCTGAACAATGATAACATTTCATCAGCAACTTAACAACACAATGACTCCAAGCCACCTGTACCGACACAATTCTCATACAAACAGTAATAACACAGCTTGATTGAAGATCAAGTTTGACATGAAACACAATGTTTCTTTTAATCACAAACTATAATGGGACAAGATCAAAGCAACTATTATGCATACAGTGAACTAATGCCTACTCTTCCCCAGACACCTACTGAAGGATCTTCAACTTAAAACTCTTCCCCAGACACCTATTGAAGGATCTTCAACTTAAAACTGATTCTGTCTTTAGAATCCACACAGGGTACTGATAACTTACTCCGCCTCAAACGGACCTGGTTTTAAATCCTTATTCAGCCCTTATGAGATCTATAAGTGTCGAGGGTATATTTGAAAATCGCCACAGTACAAAAAGCTCACCACTCCATCCAGGCCTGCATTCACAAGTGTAGCCATTGAGATAGTCGTGGCAAGCTCCTCCATGTTGACAGGGGTTGGACAGACACTCGTTGATGTTGCTTTCACAGTTGAACCCGCCATAACCTTGAGGGCAGCGGCAGTCAAAACTGAAACATTCAATGAACCTTACGTTTGGGGAACTGTCAAATACATTCCAGATCATCATAATCATAACTAAATAAACAGGCCAAAGACTCTACATTCAGCTGACATAACCATCCAGTAATTCTAGACATTTACAGAAGAAAACACAAAATATAAATTTTCAACACTGTTACATGATCACGTCATTCTATTGCAAATTGGGTCAAATATACTGTGAGAAACAAATAAAGGAATACTGGAAAATTCGAGCATTCCTTTAATATTTTCCAGTTTTCATCACCTGCTTTGAATAGCGCTGTGGGAAGAAACCTGAGAATAAAGGAATAGTGCCATGAAGTGGTGTTCCCTTATTTGTTTCCCTCAGTATAATGATAATTAACACAAAGTAAGTAGTTACAAGGAATTAAATAGGTTCTAATTATCAGAAATTCCACATAGTATTTCATACAGGATATGAACTTTTTCCAATGACCCTTCACATACATGTATACCTATTTCAGTTAGTGATTTCTGGAGGACTGAACTTCATTTACAGTACATATATCTTTGAACACAGATTGCTGGGTTTATTAAAGCTAAATAAACCTCACCAACTTTGATCACATATTAGTGACTAGTCTACAAACTGCCTCCCTTTTGAGTGAGTGAGTATTTAACGTCACGTCGGCAATATCTCAGCCATATCGTGACCCCTCCCTTTTGAAGTTTTCAAGAATGTTCAAATAAATGTTTCCCTAATTTTATCAGAAATCAGAGTTTGTTACTTACCGATTGACACCATCAATGCATTGTCCACCATGGAGACAAGGATTACTTGCACATTCATTCACATCAGACAAGCAGAAGGCATCATAGTATCCTGGGGGGACAGTCACACAGGAAGCCGTTCTCCTCATCCTTGCATATTCCACCATTAGAGCAAGGGTTGGACTCACACTCATTGATGTCTCGCTCACAGTGTTTACCTGCAAGAGTAATAATTCACTTAGTCCTAAGACTCAGAAACATGGCCCATTCTAAAAAAATTAAGATGCGTACTATTAAAATGATCACAGCTTTGAGAACTCTTATTTGATAGAGAAAACAGAATATTTGAACTTTATGCAGAATCGTATTAGGTATCCTGGACCAGTACACCTATTGTAATGATTGAGTGAGTTTGGTTTTACGCTGCTCTTAGCAATATTCCAGAAATGGGCTTCACACATTGTACCCATGTGGGGAATCGAACCTGGGTATTCAGCATGACGAACAATGCTTCATAAACAACTAGGCTACCCCACCGCCCTACACCTATTGTAAGTCAATGTTTAATACACAGACTTACTAAAGTCCTGTTAAATGGTTGAGGGATAGGTCTGTTCTCACCTGTAAAGCCTGGCTTGCAGTGACAGGTGTACGAGTTAATTCCATCAATACAGTTGGCATCATTACGACAAGGGTTGCTGGCACATTCGTCATTGTTCTTCTCACAGTTTAGACCTGGAAGTATTTTATCAATTAATCAAACCACTAAAGAATTGGAGTAACTCTACTGAAAGATTACAATGAACATGATCGGAAAATTTCAAAATTGAAATATTCTGACGACATGATATTAATGGGGAATAAAGCTAACCTGAAGTCCCCATCTGACATTGGCATTCGTAGGAGTTCCGCAGGTCATTGCAGGTCGCCCCGAACTTGCAAGGGTTGCTGTCACATTCGTTGATTTCATGTTCGCAGTGGGTGCCTGTGTACCCACCTATACACTGACAGTGATAGGTTTCACGGCCATCAATGCATTTACCATAGGTGCAGTTCACATTGGCACAATCATTGATGTTTTCTTCACAATGATCTCCACGGAAACCTGTAAGAAAGTACTTGGTGAGTAATCCTTACTTTTCACGCAAAACAAGACCACTAGTTGGATATCAGCAAAAATTTGAAATGACTGATGGTCTTCTCTAAATGTATTTATGATTCATAAACAAATGAGGGGGGAGTGAGTGAGTTTGGTTTTTAGCTTTAAGCAATATTCCAGCAATATCACAGCGGGGTACACCTTTTAGCACTATTCCCACAATATCACAGCAGGGGACACCAGAAATGGGCTTCACACATTGTACCCATGTCTGGAATTGAACCTGGTTTTGGGCATCAATACCCAGAAATCTGAGTATGTTGCTTACCGATTGACACCATCAATTTATTGTCCAAAATTTGGGTGTTCTCAAGCAGTTTTTCAATAGTTAATTAGAGAAAAGCTAAATTATTGTTAGGTGTATGAAACTTGACATCTTGCGGGCAGACGTTTGATGTACATGTCTTACCTGGAAGACAGGTGCAGCTGTAGGAATCCCTGCCATCGTTACAGGTAGCACCATTGAGACAGGGGTCACTTTCACACTCGTTTATGTTGATGCTACAGGTGTGCCCTTGAAAACCTGTAAACACCGCACATTTATTGATAGAATTTTTCAACATATCAAACCATCTAACTTAAATTCGGCACCTTTTTAAATTGTCAAGGTGCATTTTATTATTTTGAGCTGGAAGGAAGCTTGAAATTAGTAATTGGGCATCCTGTTTGGTTGGTTGGTTTGTTGTTTAACGTTGCACTCAGCAATATTCCCGCTATATGGAGGCGGTCTGTAAATAGTGGAGTCTGGACCAGACAATTCAGTGATCAACAACATGAGCATTGATCTACCCAATTGTGTCAACCAAGTCAGCAAGCCTGACCACAGATCCTGTTAGTCACCTCTTACGACAAGCATGGGTTGCTGAAGACTAATTCTAACCCGGATTTTCACGGATGACATCCTAAGTAAAACCCCAACCGTATGAAGTCTATGTTGAGATGAATCTAAGTTAAGTATGTTTTAGGATTTTCGACTCACCAGGTAGACAAGTACACTTGAAGCTGTTTTCTCGGTCTTCACATAAGGCTTCATTATGACAAGGCCGGCTGGCACACTCATCGATGTCCCTCTCACAGTTGTCTCCTGCGTAACCTAGCAACAACACAATTTACATCCAGATGATGATAGAATTGAAAATTTTAACTATAATTTATACATTTATAATACTTATCCTATCTCACATCTCACATGTCAACACCCACTGTCTCAAGTGACATATTTCAAAACATCAACTTTCTTCCTGCATGGATAAGATTGGGTGGGGATTCTGTGTAAGTCTGAACATCAGAAGCATACTGATAGGAGACTAAATTATAATGAGGGACGGTTTAATTATGGTTTAATGCAGCTTTCACCAATATCCTAGCAATATCACATCATGGATATTGGAAATACCCCTTGTACATTACACCCATGTAGGGAATCGAACCTGGGAACAAAACAAGTGAAAATTCTAACCACTAGGCTACCCCAAAACCCAAAACTAAAGAAGAAATAAGAGAAAGGTACTCTGTAAACAAAACAGTTTATTGTTGTGCTGAGTCACAACATCCTTAATTCACATAATTTAATGTAACTGTGATAATAATAATAATAATAATAATAATCAGGACATTTGTATAGCGCTGATCTCCACACCTCATGCCTCATGGGCATGCTCTAAGCGTATACAACAGTTCAAGTCAATTTTAAGATCTCCCAAAGAGATAGGTCTTGATATGAGCTTTAAAAACGTCAAGTGAGGGAAAGCATCTCATAAGGAAGAGCGTTCAAAAGTACAGCTGACGCATACTGAAAAGTTCTGGTACAGATGTGAACCTAATAATGGTGAAGGTTTAGCTGGGTTTTGTTCTGTGTCTTCCTCAAGATTTGGTGTTCAGTATTCTAATACACAAACTGAATCTCCCACATTTTCATCAAGAAATGGCCATAACTCTAACAATTGGTATATAAAATTAACATAATTCACAAAATATTCTCTTTTCATCCCATCCAAATTCTCATCATTAGGAGTCCACCAAACTCCATCAATGCGTAGCTACACCCTGGGAAACACCATAAACATCTTCTGAATATTCAAAGAACCTTTCAGTAGACTTTAGTGCACATACTAATGGCCCTATCTCCCACAATCCCATGACGGCTTCCACAATGTTCCTCCTCTCAATTTGAAAGAAGCTACAAATTCATCACAGAAATGCCACTATGGCAACCCCCTCCTCGTTCTCTCACACATACAGCCTAACAAAGGCTCATCTTGGATTTAAGATGTATTCTATTTGTACACATACACACTAAAATATACATCATACATCAGTGTTTATGAAGCATGACCTTTGTGCCCCACTTTCCTTTATTTAACAGTTTCCTTCTACTCGCTCCCACGATTCAAATCGTCATAAAAAGCTTTCCCAAACAACTCTTGGCCCAGATGGATAACTATGGCTGCTCTACCAATGGCTCTGTTCAATGGAGTGGAAATAATGAGAACTACAGTCTGGAGCCTTACAACTCTTGTGAGGCACTTGCACGGTGCATACCGGCTGCTCCATCAAGAAATAATTGACACCTGAAAATCTGCTCCTAGTGATATGGTTTTTTAAATGTGATCCATGTTTACTCACTTAAAACTCTACACCGCAAACAAACTACAAGATCACACTGATCATATCATTTAAATACAGAAAAAAACCCCACAAATTTCTCATATTTTTCCGCTTAATGTTTTGTTCATCTTTCAGCAATCTTTACATCACATAAATGTTAGTTTAAAACATATACAGCTCTGACTTACACAACTCAAATTACAAAAACATACCAGGAAGTATATAGGTAAAATATCACTTTCTCATCTTAAGACTCCCCATGTGGAACCTCATTTTAGAAAGGGTAGACAACTTTCCCACACTTGAGTTTCATCCCTGACCTTTGTTAAACATCCCGGAGTACATCAGTAGCTTTCTAACAGTTGACTAGTGCTTATGTTGTCAGTGCACGGGGCTGCGTAATACCGACAAGAGTGGGAAAGCTGCGGTATCATTGTTAACTTTTCACATGAATTATAGGGTTTCACTGCCGCTTACGGCAGCTAATGCAACAGGTTAATAGTAGTTTTTACAAACTTTTAGAAAAGTTCTCCGTCACTGAGCAAATCTGAAGTGTCCTGAGTAATATTGCCATGGGAAAATCAGACAAATATTTAGAAAGATAAATAATTCCGTCACCTTCGGCTGATAAGAATTGACATGTAATGTTATGACATCTATTACAAGTTGGAATTTGACATACATTTCATTCAGCATACATTTTCTCATGCCATAAAATGCAAAAACTACCAACAGTCTGATATGCTAACTGGCGCTATAAAATGGGGAAATCTTAGTCTTTTCAAATCCTTCTTTTAAGGAACATTTTCAGATAGTCCAAAATTGTGATAGGAAATGAACATTTGACATTCCCGCTCAGAGACCTTTAACAGAGACTAAAATCCAAATCCAAATTTGACATAGAAACATATTGTCATGTATTGTATTCATTTCTCTGACCAATAACAATTAGCAAAGTAACCTGATATTTAGCTTGGGAAAAATAGGATTGTTTTTAAATCTTCAAACAATAAATAACACTGAATATTGGAAAAGTAACTATAGGTAATATTATGCCAAAATGTTATCAAGTTTGAAGACCAGTTTGTGAAAACAATACATTTTCACACAGAATGACAAAAATATCATATATCATGTGTCTAACCTTATGTAATGGTTCACCATTACTAAAGAGAAAATATATCAAAGTAAATAAAATAAAATAAATGAAAAAATAAAAACTGAAAACTTCTAACCCAGAACTATTTCTGAATCATTTTCAAAAGTTTATTAAAAATGTAGATCCGGGATAATAGTTACTCAACAGACTCAGACTTGTGTAGGGTCAGTGACTATAGGTAAACTGCTCTTACCTGGCATACATATACACTTGTATTTTCCGTTCATATCCAGACAGGTACCATCGTTCTGGCATGGGTTGGAGGCACATTCGTCGAAGTTTATCTCACAGTACTGACCATAGAACCCCGTCTGGCAGATACACTTGAAACTACCTGGAGTATTCTCACAGGTACTGCCATGTTCGCATGGGCCCTCGTAACCTGAGGAAACCAACCAAATGTTACAATTCATAATGCATAGTTTCAAACAATTTGGTGAAAATATTCTTTGCTATCCACTTAAAACACAGTCTGCTTTGTATGTTTATTTTTATAGTCGATCCTCTTTATCACAAAGCAAAGAGACCGATGATTAAATTCAAGACATTGGATATTGAAAATAACTGCTCTATCAAACAAAAGCACTGAATTACAGAGAATAAGGAAGAATTATGTTTCAAAATGTATTTAAACAAACAAAATTAACTTCAAGAAGATAGTTCGAAGAGGAAAATGAACAAAAAGAAATCATTAAAATGACAAAATTTATTCCAAATGGGCACAATATAGCTTTAAAAGGGTGTCATTAAATCCCAGGGAAAACGAGTGCGTGAGTCTGGTTTACGGCACTTTTAGCAATATTCCAGGAATATCATGGCAGGAGACACTAAAAATGTGTGGAATCGAGCCCGTGCCCACTTTAACCACAAGGCTACCCCACCGCCCCCAGAGAAGGAAACAGAGGGCTGTGTAATATGTGTGACTGAGTAGCTGAAGTCAAGTAATCTGTAAGCATTACATGGATCTCTGATGTCTAAAGCCACCTGTCAGAGCAACATAAATAATTATGAAGTAAACACGTTGTGAGGATCAACTCTCAGGTCAAGATAGTGGTGAAATATACTTTATATATAATATATATATATGCGATAATGTCCAACTGTGTCTGATGATTAAACAACAGCTTCAAAAGAGTTAACTGTTAAACATACATGAAATCTCATCTTCTTTAAAACTTATGGTATTTTACACCATTCCATGGCTTAAGTGGAAGTAGTAACACATGGTCAAGTAAGTTGGGAAAATCAAAGCAAAATCTTTCCAGATACGTATAAGGCATATATATTTTATTCACATTTTTAGTTAATTGATATCAATGCACACTGTATCAAAATGCCTATCATCACCTTCATATAAGTCGTGTTTCATTCCAGTGTGAAATTTTAATAAAAACTATTGACCAAGACTTCAGAAAATACAACTTATCCCAATCCCTCGCCATTTACCAACATTCACCGCTAAATATATTATCATGGCATTTTAAACGCTTGGTTTCTGATGCATACATTTTGTTTGAACAATATGTTATTTCTAGAGTGTTGTAAGGTCAACATATTATTTCCCATAAAAATCTTCAGTTTTCAAACGTAGTCTTGCATACAAAAGCAAGACAAAAATGCCTAAGAAAGTCAGTGGCTCGTGACAGCCCTGAAGCAGTAATCATGATAGGAAAAAATGAAATGAAATCAGTTGAGTCGTTGTTCGGGGTATTAGGTATCCGTGAGAACTGAGTTGTAAACATGGCTCAACAATAGGTTGCCAATGAAGAATGGCAAACCTCACCCCAAGCTACCCAGGTTTCTGCAAGGTTATGTGTCTACAAACCAAGTGACCGGTCTCCAGCCTTTGTGAACACAACCAACTTAACTTGCAAATTTATAACTCTCATTTCATTGTCACTTACATGGCATTTATGAATTAATCAAAATCGAGAATATGTTTTTATCATTCTGAATATTAATAAAACAGTCTTTTTGTAGCATGAATTATACTCAGTGAGAATTTCTTCCCAATGGTGATAACTGCTCCATGGTTGAAATTCAACCGATGCCACACAAGACTTTAACTCAATGAGTGAGTGAGTGAGTGGGGATTAATGCCGTTTTTGAACAGTATTCAAGTTTTATCATGGCATGTCAGCTGTATAAGGAAGGAAAGTATAAAGTGCTGCATTTCTCAGAAGTTTACTTTGGTAAAACACGCATTGATGTGGTGCTAACAAACCAAGAAACATACTTGGGGTTCAAACTCACAATCCAACTCAAGGAAACAACATTGCCATACATATATATATAAATTTGTTCAATTGCTATTGGCCTACCATGTGCATCTGCAGGCCCATGTTTAATAAAGTAGGAAAACTTGGTGCAAGGAAACCAATATTTTTAAATGAAAAAGTGTGCTTCACGACAATTTTGTAATTTGTCCAAACAAATGCAGAACCCCTTGTAGCATGGAGTCGGTGCAAATATCCCAGAGCCAAGATCTTCTTTTATCCTAGTCTTTTGTGTACAATCTAGCAACAAGGGACTGCACAGTTCATAGCAGGGGGAGACATGAACTTACTCTCTTCGCACTCGTTGATGTCCTTGTCACAGAAGGTGCCCTTCCACCCTCGCTTACATGTACACTTATGATTGCCGTCAATAGGGGAAGTCTCGCAACTTGCACCAGCATGACAGGGACTACTTTCACATGCGTCCTCCAGATGGCAGCGCAGACCTGAGGACAAGCGACAGATGGTGGCGGCCATATTGTTAGTAGTCAGCCAAGACAGGAGCCATTTAGTTAGATGAACATACAAGAAACAACAGGAAGTATAAATACATAGAGGACAGAGATTATCAATGTCTTCACAGGTTGTAATCATTTAAAGAGGTGTAAAGGTATCATATTCAGAACATGATGTATACAGAAATGAAGCAAGATATATGTAGTTTCAGAATGAATAGAATATGCATATCATGTTGGGAGATTGGGAAGCAATGTTCTGTAACGAATAGAAACAGACTGAAACCTCAAGTTTGCAGCAATGGACAGTCAGCCAAAGGATGGTGATGACATACAGGGTTCTACATACCTAATAACTAACTCCTACACATCCGACATTTTGAAAACAATATTTAGTTTTGTGGTTATTATTATTTGGATCATGTGTAATGAAGTATTCAGAAGCACAAGTTATCGTCAAAAACATCCTCCTTTGAATTTCTTTATGGGCTAAGGCCACTTTACAAAGCGATGTTTGTGCTAAGGAGATCGTAACGCTAATCCATAGCATAGTCCTACAATCAACGTAGCGCTAAGATCCTTTTGTGGATCTGGGCCCTGTTTCAGGAAGCTATTTTAGCGCTGTCTATGTTACAGTATAGAAGGTACAACATTCGAAGAGCTACGACTGTCGTAAGTCTATGTTACTGTATAGGAAGTATGACATTCGTAGCACTACGATAGCTGTCAAATAGTACCCTGGACCCTGAAACCCTTAACATGTGGAACATGGTAAACCTGGGTCCACATGCACAAAGCGACCTTCATGCCACGAACATCGTAACTCCCATAGTCCAACATTGACCTAAGAGAGTTGTAGCACTAATACTGCTTTGTGCAAGTAGACCCTGTCCCTGTACATCACCACTCCATCCTTATGCTTTAACCTTGCTAAAGGAAGGTCATGGCCACCAATAGAACTCAAACACAAGTCTCCATGCAAATCATTGACAGCTGATGAGAAGGAAATATAAATCTGGGTGAAAAGATTTCACTGTGTCCCTTAAAGAGAATGTAAACCATTTTAGTCACGGTGTTGATTTGGTGATTATCTATGCATATTTTGAAGCTGAAACACTGAGGTGAGGATAAGATGCTATTGCCTGATTGATCTACCAAATAATCCCAGTTGGAGGCCAAACACCCAAAAACATAAAGTCAAATTGAATCAAGTTTGCCGGAAAAGCATACTTGCCTGTGCCTAAATCTTTCCTAAAATTAAGGTCTTTTGAAATTTTGTATGACATTTAGTTTTACACATGTATTTTAATGACTGAAATTTGAGGACGTTTTGGGAACAAGTTTCATGATACATTGTTGCAGGTGAATTACTGTACCTTGGACGTCCAAGAGTGAAAGAAAGGTTTGGAATTTTGAAGGCTTACAGTATAGACAAGGAAATAGACAACTGCATTTCTCTGTTTCCCATCCATCCCCTACTCCAGCAGTGTTAGCACTTCCCCAGCACTACTGACTTTCAACTTCCTTACAAAACTAGTGGGCTTCCTCATGTGTAAATTTCTAGCTTACCAATGTGGAATTGTCTCATTTTGAATAATGAAATATGAAATGTTTTGAATACAGCCAAACATCATTGTGTCAAACTTGGATTTGTTGAACTTAGGGTTGTTGGAAGAAAAAGCTTGGTCACAGCACATTCCATATAAGTGAACATTTTGTGGTTGTGTCAAATGTCACATACATCGAGGTATTTACATAGGTCCATTTGACACAATCATGTTTGACTCATTTAGGTCAATTTCAAAACAAAATTACAAACAAGGAAATCAGTCTCAGTAAAACAATGGCTAAGATCTTCAAGTGAGATTATCTTCAGTAATCTCGAAGTCTCAGATCTTCATTACTGATTTAATCAACTGCAGCACGGAAAATAGCTAAATTAGGAAGCAGAAGTACATACAACGGACACCTTATGTGAATCACACCTTCCAGTATACATTTCTGATCAGAATCTGTCGTAGTGACTGCAGAAGGATCAAACGGACGGAACTCTGTTTGCCTTGGGATCAATATGTAAAACATTACTGATATCATCAGGCTTTGGGGCATTCTCTTTTATGATAGCTTCAAACAAACATTTGTCCTCAAGACAACAGTTAAAACAATATATCTGCACCTTTAGTTAAGACTGGTTATATTTGTTTGCTGTTCAACACCCAACTCCAGATTGTGATCTGTAAGTTATCGAGTCTGGGCCACACAATCCAGTGATTAACAACATGTATATACATATCAATTGGGATACAATAACATGAATCAACCTAGTCAACCTGATTGATTCACTGATGATGCAAGGTTGAGACAGTTAGGAAAACATAACTGGCAAAACCTTCGGAGATTTTTTATAAATGAAACTTTTTATCAATCATACAAAGCATTTTCTTTCCATAGTTTGGTCCACCATTGAAACACTTCATGCAGGATTGTCAGCAAAACAAAATGAATCGAGTGTTTAACAGGTACCACTAACACTTTTCAGTTTGTAAAGGAAATGTTGGAAAAGATATATGAGAGAAACAATACAGGACATATTCCTACCTGTTTTCCCTTTTGGACATTCACAGAAGAAATAGCCCACTCTGTCTTTGCAGGTGCCCCCATTATAACAAGGGCTCTCCTTGCAGTCATCAATGTTCTCCCCACAGTCTGTACCATTCCAGCCATTCACGCAGATACATTGGTAGCCCCCTGCCTGGTTCATGCAAGTAGCCCCATTCTTGCAGATACTTGGCTGTTCCAGACACTCATCAATGTCAATATCACAGTATTTGCCTGGAATATAAGGTAGAGATAACAATATGTGCACAAGACATAACATAGAGATAACAATATGTGCTCAGGACATCAGGTAGGTATCACTATATGTTACCATATATAACATAGATGTCATAACATGTGTTCAGGACATCAGGTAGGTATCACTATATGTTACCATATATAACATAGATGTCATAACATGTGTTCAGGACATCAGGTAGGTATCACTATATGTTACCATATATAACATAGATGTCATAACATGTGTTCAGGACATCAGGTAGATATCACTATATGTTACCATATATAACATAGATGTCATAACATGTGTTCAGGACATCAGGTAGGTATCACTATATGTTACCATATATAATATAGATGTCATAACATGTGTTCAGGACATCAGGTAGGTATCACTATATGTGACCATGATATAACACAGATGTCACAATGTGTGTTCAGGACATCAGGTAGGTATCACTATATGTTACCATATATAACATAGATATCACATATATCACAATAGGTGCCAGGGATATAAGGTAGATATTACAATATTTAACAATGATATAAGGTAGATGTCACAATATGTGTTCAGGATATGATGTAGAATACACACTATGCACTTGGCATATTAGAGAGATATCACAATATGTGCCGTGCATTTAAGGTAGATAGGCTTAGTTCAATCCTTATTCATTGCAAAACAGATTATCTTTAAACCTTTATGGAAAGATACAGTGGACCAAGCTTAACTAATGTCATGAGAAGTAATTTCCTGTAATGTTTATGATCATCATACCCACCTCAGCATGAGTGAGTGAGTGAGTTGGGTTTTAAGTTGATTTTAGCAATACTCCAGCAACATCATGGGAATGGACACCAGAAATGGACTTCACACATTGTACTGATGTTGGGAAGAGAACCTGATCTTCAGCATGACAAACCACTAAGCTATCCCTATGAAGAATGAGGATTAGGCTTTTGGTTTAAGCCATATATAAACAGCTTGTATGACCCATCTTGCATGTGCTCTGACATAAGTTGTGGAATGTGATTGAATGAATGAAAGGAGCTTTATGCTGCATCATGCAATTTTCCAATTAATTGCGGTGAGAACTAGTAACTGTACATGTGTACATAAAAAGAACAGGACTAAAACGGACGATCTCGAAGATAAATCAAAATATCAGTCAAATATCACAAAGGAGGCAAAAACTAATGATTACCCATGAGACCATATTCACAGATCAATAACACGTTAAAACAATCGATGAAAATGACCACATATTGTAATTGTGGTAAGGTAAAAGGAACTCTGTGAAAAGTTAGCCCAATATGGGCATCTGGCTCATTAACTCCTTGCTCTTTTTGTCAAGTAACTGGAGACATTAAGAAACTAGATGCCTCACAACAAAGTACAACCCATACTTTATGACATCCTCTGGACACAAAGGCATTTCAATGACTCTAGCTTACAGGTTATTCATCACTATCTCGGTAGCAACACGCTCTACTAAATTTCATCTGATGACTCAAGCTCTCCCAAGCATCTTCAAGATTCATCACTCGTCAAGACCACAACCCTTACTTTTGCAGGTGCTTGTAACCAAAACACCTAATTTATTTCTCTATCTCTGTGACTCTCTAACCTGGTCCCACGACCTGTTATAACTGTGAAGATACCTTTCTATAGGTCTCGTTTTGAGAATTTCCATATTCTCCATAAAAACATTTTCTCATGCCCTATAATTGGTTGACTGTGGTGAATTTGAACTCCACAACATTAGATGTTTGTCAAGGTTCACTGCCTTCATGAAGATCAAGTTATCAGCAACGTGATGTAGGCACATCGTCACCCTTGTGAGACTTTCAAACATTACCTTAGTTTGGCGGAAACTGTCCGCTTTCCACACCATCTGACTTGGCAAAACAGACTCACAGGTAGCTTGTTCAATTTGACAAAAACTTAGCTTCACCTTTACATAAATTTACAAGTGTCTGGCATCTTATTTCTCAAAACTAAATTTTAATCCAAATCATGTGAACTTTTAGTTATACATATCTCATAAAATTATCTAAAACTTTACTCAACAACCATTTGAACAAAATCTAACTTCACCTTTACATAAATTCACAAGCCGATCCCATCTCATTTCTCAGATTCATCAAAACTGAAATTTACTCCAAGTCATGTACACTTTCAGCTATATATATATATAGATACATCTTGTAAATTTATCTTCAACTTTATTCATGCCACAATAAACTGTTCCACATACAAATCCCAAAGTTTCTGCCATAATGTCAGCATGATATATAAGTATCCTATTGTGACACATCTAATCTTTATCCATACAAAGAAATTTATTTGTTTATTCCTAAATGCAGCACTCGGATATGACCCAGTCGTAGGATAAATAATTTTGTCTGAACCAGGAAATGAAATGATTAACCTTGTGAGCAAAATTATACTGTTGGAGTATACTGACACTCGACCAAGTCTCCAAGCCTGACTAATTCTATCTCGGAATACAACTTTGGACATAAAACTTGAATAAAGTGAAATTTTAGAATACTATTTCTTATTTACAAAAGCTCCTAGACTTGCACAAGTCCCAAAGATAATAATTAATAGATTAAATGAAAATTTCTAAAATGTATATAAATAACAGACTTGTGTCCACTGTCCGCTTATCTGGACTTGCCTCTTGAAATGATAGAGTTACTATACATCCTTGGGCTAAGCAATTAGTACAACCTTGGAGCAAGGCTAAAAAGCTCTCTTCATCATAAGTTTGAGATACTGAAGTTTTCTGAACACATTTTAGTTGGCCTTGGATAATTAAAAAAACGAGTGTCCACATATCATGCTCTGTATCATATATTGTATCAGGTATCATGTCGTGACAAAGCGTATCGTTAAATCAATAGCTATCACTAATGTTTACCATAAAGGCACAGAATAGCCCTAACTACTAAATCAAGACTGACCTGTTTACATATTTTTCTCATCTGTTAATCTGTTAATCTAGTGAGGAATGACAACAGCATTACACCCTTTCTATAATTACTTCCACAGACTGCTGATAAGCTTGTACACTTACAAGCATACACCCTATTCACTACAAGTGGGGCAGAGCGACCAGTGATGCAGAGATAGTTGATCCAGTGAGTGGCGACACACGACATTTATTGACAGGGAAGATATGAAACAATGTGATCAGTTAATTGATTGCACTTAACGATACAACATTACATAGACGGCATCAATCATGTGTGAAACATATTTCATGTTACGCTGTAGCGTACCAGTGTCAGGGTTCACGCACATTTCCCTCATCATCGTTAGCTCGAATTAATTATTCTCGTTTCATTTCTGGCTTTCAGACTATCTCAACAAAGCAAATATAGTTTTTTGATACCCTGATATTGCGCATGGAATTTAGGACTGAATTATTTACTCCAGAAAACGAACTGAAAGAGATGTTTCTGCAGTTAATCCACACGAACGACGACCCTTGCATGGATGGTTACAGCTGTGTCTATTTCTGTGAGTGGAAGCTGACATCAGTTTTATGTAGAGAGATAAGCTGGATGTTAATAATTTAGTCTGTGACATCAATACTGTAGGGAAACAAAAGACTATCACAGTAACACGGGGAACATGGCATACATGCCACCACTTCTATTGATTCTTCACAGTTCTTGTATTTGTGGCCCAGAAGTGATGTAATTCAGAGTGAGTGAGTGAGTGAGTGAGTGAGTGAGTGAGTGAGTGAGTGAGTGAGTGAGTGAGTGAGTGAGTGAGTGAGTGAGTGAGTGAGTGAGTGAGTGAGGATGAGTGAGTGAGTGAGTGAGTGAGTGAGTGAGCGAGCGAGCGAGCACACCGGGGTTTCACACATTCATTGATCAAATGTTCACATAAAACCTGGGTTTTTGAACATGACAAGCAAATGCTTGAACCACTGGGCTGCCCTCAAAACAATCAGTATCAAAACAGATACTTTCCCTGGCAACTACCATCAAAGCACTCTTCATTACAAATAAACTGTTTTTGCCTTATCATATCCAAGGTGCAACTTCCTTCACTGCATTTTCTCCCATATATGTCACAAACCCTGTCTTCCCTTCTATCAGCTCTATGCCAGGTATTCCAATACCACAACTTGTACTCTAGCAAATGAATATTGTATGGCTGTCTGATGAATCTTTTGTTTGTCTACAGTTCCGCAGGAGTAGTTCTACAGTCAATCAATACCGCCCGTTTCACAATATCACAGGTATCTGCGGAATCCCTTCATGAACAGTAGGTATATATAAATCTTACGCCACTTACCACCACTAACAACAGTCCAAGAATCGCAGCATGGAAAACTGGGCCAAGCTATCTATTACAGTTCAAGCTGATGCCAATAGTTTCCAGGAATTTTTATAGTTGCTTTTCCTGGCGCCTTGTTACTAGCAGAAGTGCATTACGAGTCTACATAATAGAACATCAGAGAAGGAGAACAGGAGGTGGGACATGTTCCACATGGGGTGTACACGAATTTCCCATGAATGGGGTTTGGAACTTAAAATGGGGTGTGATGGGTAAAATGTGCATAGCGTGGCTAAAATAAAGTTGAATTACACTTCAAACATGCTCTCAGTCCATTTATTTTTGTACTGAATGGGGCAAAGAAATGTTGTTGTGACCCTGATGGCAAACAGTTTGATTTGAGTGAGTGAGTGAGTGAGTGAGTGAGTGAGTGAGTGAGTGAGTGAGTGAGTGAGTGAGTGAGTGAGTGAGTGAGTGAGTGAGTGAGTGAGTGAGTGAGTGAGTGAGTGAGTGAGTGAGTGAGTGAGTTTTTAACAATATTCCAGCAATATCACAGTGGGGAACATCAGAAATTGGCTTAACACATAGTACCCATGTGGCAAATCAAACTCGGGTCTTTAACACAAACGCAGATGCTTTAACCATTAGGCTACCCCACCACCCGTTGATTTAAATGAACATATCATAATTGAGTTACTCCTGGATAGGAACTGAACAGTTGTCATATACGCTTGCAGCAGTTTCCATACACGTACTTAAAAGCACAAAAATGACTTGGGGCCAAGCTGTCCTACCCTCTACAAATAGAAAGTTGGGTACGGTACAAAGAGAAGTAGTGCAAATATTCATCATGTATTTACAACAGACTTCTCAACTCTAAAGCCCGTATTTCTATATCTCACACAAACATATGTCATCAATGGAGTCGTGTCTCTCCACCCCTAAGTTCAATATTTCGATACAAAACAGGTTTCAAGTTCTGATATGGGTGGGTTCACATTTACGGTCAAAAGGCAAACTTGTCAACATAATACCTTCATTAATAGTAAAAACAAATCACAGAGTCAGACATTTATCTAAAGTGCATGTTCCACGCTGATTGTACAGGCTACTGTCGTAAACAAGATACAATTTACAATGCCCAAACTGCTATATGTGTAATGTTTCATTTGGCACAGAGTGTAACAATATCATCCTTTTGATAAACAGTTCTTCCCATGTTCTGAGTGGATCATTAGGAGTAGCTGTTCGGGAGGAAGCAAAGCAGTTCATGGCTTCCCAACAAATGTCAACAACATGACCTCCTAGGTGTTAGATTTGAAAACCTCATATCAACAAATAAAGTGGTCCCTCAAAATAGAAATTATACATTTGTGTATTTCGAGACCTTGGCCATAAGACAGAATGAGCCTGGCTTAAAATGCTTTTAGCAATGTTCCAGCAGGTGAAACCAGAACTGGCTTTACACACTGTACCCATGTGGAGAATCGAACTCGTGTCTTAGGCATGACAAGTGAACACTTTGACAACTAGGCTACCTCTTAGTGTCCATGTGAATTTAGCATAACAAGGCAACTTCCAACTGGAGGCTGCCCCACACACCATATCCTCAGGAAAAAAATAACTTACCTTTATAGGTAGGTGGGCAATGACAGGTGTAACTGTCCACTCCATCTACGCAGGTAGATCCATTATTACAGAGGTTGTTCGCGCAGTCATCTACATTGATCTGACAATTTCGTCCTCGGAAACCTGAAGAAAAAACACAGACATGATATTACCAGATATGATATTATCTATTGCTGGTCACTGAAATTCATTCATATTCCACTATGCACCGATGATGAAACAACCAATTAAACCCATAAGCTGAAATTTTGAAGACAAGCTACTGAGAAAAATGAACAGAAAAAGCATGTATGTCTTTGCCCAAGATGTCAGTGAATTATGTAACTGAAAATAAAGGGGTGATTTTTACTTTATAATACTGTTTTGTCTCCCGACAATATTTGTCCTTTCAGCATGATTTTAAAGATCAAATGTATTTTAACTGGTCACCACTACAATAGGTATTTTATCATTACCATAGCCTAAGATTTTGTTATGAGATCCTGTATTTTTATGAACAAAGTTTGATATTGCCTTACATCAAATTGCATCAAAACAACACAGTAATGGAGGTAAGGCATCGTTTCTAGCCTGGTTGAAAGAACTTGCCCTTGACTTAAAGTCAATCAAAATACCGCTAAAAAATGCCAAATATTTATCTCGATTAAAAATCAATCTTTCTCAATTGAATGTGCCTTTTGTCCGCAGCACACATGTACTGTTTTCCTTACAACAACTCATCAAGAGGATAAGTTTCCTTATTGAGACATTTTTCCTGATATCTAAATTTGAACTTTTGCCTAGATTTGATTTGACAGTTTTGCCCAAGACTTACAGCTTTGTGTTCTGGGCACCGCAACACAAATTTTGTTGGATTACAAAACCCACGGCTATTTGGTTGTTTACTAAACAAACTCCTTTTGTTTGCATAGGGAATTCTTTGTTCCCTGAAGAAAATCTACAGTGTGTAGTGAAGTTAAACACTGACTTCCTGTCGAAATGTGCCAATGTACTACTCAGTAACAACTAGCTGAATGAAGAATCTAAATCAGACCTTGAAAATGATACATAATTGATCATTACTGCTATGATTAACTCAGATCATTAAACATTGTTTCTCAAATACAACCGTTCGACTTGTCGGAAAGACATTCAGGTCTGATCAATGACAGAAAGGGAAAGATACAAACATAAATATTTATGCTCAGGATAAAGAAGACTACAGTTATATGGCCATTTATCATTACTTAATTTCATTTCAAGCTATCTGATTGGGCAGTTGTTGTCTTGGAAAAACCTACACAAGAAGTTTGTGTAGATCTCTTGAAGTGAAAATGTATTATTTGACATCATTGACTTGCAACATCCAAACAGTCTGTTCAAACTTTGAAAACATTAACGGTCTGTTGAAGAATTTTATATCTGTAGATTGTATTTCAACAAAGACACCCAAAGTGAAGTTTATAAATGTATAACTTGCAGGGGCTGAAGCAAAGGTCTAGAGATGTAGAAAGCTGTTAAGTTCTTACCAAAGATCAAGTGGCTCTAACAAAGGTTTCTTTGAGAACAACATTTGGCTCTTACAAGATCTAAGGGAGCACAAGAACATCTGGCTCTATTACGGTCTAAGGGAGTATAAGATCATTCGTCTCTAACCAGGTCTAAGGGTGCCAAGATCATTTAGCTCTTACCAAAGGTTTAAGTTTATACGAGACGATTCGGCTCCAACCAAAGTGTAAGTGTGTACAAGACCACTAAGTTCCTACCACAGGTCAAAGGGTGTACAAGACTATTGAGCTCTACCAATGATCTTAGATGTATACCATTCAGCTCATTACACCCCTGTACAAGGTGCATGTGACACACATCTGTCAGGACATCCTGGGGACAGATCTATATGATATGGTCCAAACACTGGAGTATGTTTACCACCTTCTTGGAAATCCACATTTTCCCAAGCTAGGACTGTAATGTAGCTATTTTCTTATTCAAACATTCTCATCTCATTATAAGAACTTATGCTGAGCACATCTCAGAAGCCATACAGGCAATCATGAGTCACTATAGTACAGCCAGCAAGAAGAGAAGAAGACACAAACGACATGTTTGCCCTGATTAAACATTCCACCAGTCAAGGTGAACATGACGAGAGACGATTGCTTTAAACACCGAGTTCTTTGGTAGAGTTAAGCAACAAATCGTGCAATTCCCCAGGTGTTTTCTTTAATGTTGTCAGAGACCGCTGCGAAATTTCTTGTTGTCAGTCACAACGTCAATATGTAAATGGAGAAGGTTTTGAAGTGGCACGATCAGCCAAACTTCAATTTGTCTTGTCAGTGCCAGCAGACCCTCATTAATCCAATAAAACCAACAGATACATTCACTAACACGACATTCTACACACTCTTTAGGCCACTACAAAGTGTATCTGCTACCACATTTCACAGAAATATGTCTGGTCAAGAGTCAGACAGTGAGATGTCAACTTAATGCAGTAAGAAGGTCCACTGTGTAACATGTCCTTGACTGTCACCTCTGTCGCTTGTCTTTCCTGTAAGTTAATCATTTTCAGAATGAATGAGTGAGTAGGGTTTTACGCCACTTTCACCAATATTCCAGTAATACCACTGCCAGGGACACAAGAAATGGGCTTCACATACTGCCCCCCTGTGAGGCATCAAACCTGTGACTCAGATGAGACAATCAAATACTTTAACCACTGGGCTACCCTACCGCCCCTAATCATTTGTAAATGGATACGATCCGGCAGCCAGGGTGAGTAGCTTTGTCACTGGGCAACTGGGTTACCTAGTCCAGACTTGACAATTTACAGATTGACATCATAGCTGCAATATTGTTTAAGCAACATTTAAACAACAAATGTTAAATATGTACAGTGTCATAAAACATTAAAACAGATTGGTGCTTTATCCATTGTCAAACCCAACCAAACAGCCCTATACCGACCTTAAATACCCCATCCCCACCCCACACACCCTATCCCCACCCAAACTACCCCATTTCCACCAAAACAACCCCATCTCCACAAAAACAGCCTGTCCCCACCCTACATACCCCATTCCCACCCACACAACCCAGTCCCCACCCACACAACCATGTCCCACCCAAACAACCCTAGCTCCACCCAAAAAGCCCTATCCCCACCCTACACACAGTCTATGTAAACTTAGCATGACACATGCTCTCCTACACACTACACTGGGTAACATGGGCAAGTTGTCCTTCTACATCAGAGTCTAATAATTCAGGTGACTAAGTGCGTCTCTGCCCTCTATTATTTCCCAAGCTCCAAATTATGAAAAGCTGCCGTGAAAAGCTGTGGAGCTGAACAGTCACGATCAATGTGATAGCAATATTGTGTTATTGTGAAAGCGTATAGTTCAAAGGACTGTGCATGTCGAAAGTAGAAATATAATTGGTCACCCTGATTTTGAAACTGCTTATGGCTTATGCTTACAGAGTACATACAAAAAGGTACTGATACATCATGACTGCAACATATTGATAGATGTGCTTGTGTTTTAACCATTATCTTACATTCATTCAGCTGTTGATGGTGAGTAAGTCTGATACAAGTTTAGGTAAATCTCTATCAACATTAGGGCGTTATCACAAGAACACAAGAATGGACTTCAAGCATTGCAATTGTTGCAATGCTTAGTTAAACTGAGCTTCTCAGCAACGGACTTTGAATAAATGGCAATAATTGAAATCATTTATTATCTTGAAATGCTAAGAGTATGAGTGAGTGAGTTAAATTTTACGCCACTTTTAGCAATATTCCAGCTTTATCACGGCGGGGGACACCAGAAATGGGTTTCACAGCTAAGAGTATGAATGTCTGCTCAAGAAACATAGTCATGGCAACATACGTCCTGATAATGATGAACTGAACTCTGATTTCAGTTAATTGGAGCTGATGGCAAAAGACAACCAACTCCAACACTAATACAATCATAACTTATCACTACAAGGTTAAAGGCCTTCCTTCAAATAATCTGAATTACATGATACAGACAATTTTGGCCACCTTCATCAACAGCGAGTATCCAGTGACTCCAGTACTGGCCACAGAACCATGCTGTGTATATTCCATTTTATGTCGCCTATCAGCACAGAACACAACACAAGGTCATTTTACAAACAAGACAGTATCAGTGCTAATATAAGACAAGTTGAACAAGTCACAATGAATTATGTGACAGCCATATTAAGCAAAAACACTCCAATGAACTGAATTCTAGAAAAATAACTATAGGCACTTCATTGTTGTCCTGCCTACACAACTAGAAACAGTATTTTTAAAGTCTCCAACCTTTGATGCAATAACAAGTTCCCTCAAAACCTGATTTCGAGTCAAAGGAATTTCCAAATGATATAAGATAACAAAGACTCAAGACAGGCTGATGACTAAGACACTTTCAAATCATAACACATGAAAAATAATCTTAATAGTTACATAACAGATCTCTATTAATACAGGACTACTGCTAACCACTTGGTGACACTTTTACAGCCTAGATCAAAACAAATCACAACTGTAATCAGCTTCCTTGAACAAGTGCTAATGCTACAGGGGATAATTAAAGTCATTACTGACTGGGTTATCTGTCCTTTAACAGGCAGTGAAACACTTACACAATTTTATTTACTGTTACATCATAACTGCTTTAAGCAGGTGGTGTTTGTTGTGGGAGGGGGGAGGTCAGCATGGCCTGGGGTTGTTTACGGCACCACCATAACCCTAAACACCTATGCTACCATTAGGCCCCAGAACAATACTGATGCATTAATGCTGTGTGTTGGCAGTTCTCCCCTTGACAAAGGATATTTCTGTGTCTGTTAAAGACAGAATAAAAGCTTACACTTGTTACCAATATTCCATCAATTAAATTAAATATAGTTTGACAAGATTTAACAAATTTCACTTCCCTTTCTAAGATATGTCAAGTATCATACTTTAAACAGTAATTGTAAGCAGATATTAAATATAATAGCTCTAAAAGGACATTAAATATTTTCTTAATTCCAATATCCAAATGTTTACTTTTCTTTTAAAATGAGTTGATGGGAAAATGCAAGGTAAAAACTTGAGGTCACAGTGTGAAAATATAAAAGATGGC